CCCCGCCCCCGGCCCGCCCAAACCTCTTCTGATCTCAGCTGGTCGCCCCAAATGGATTCCGATTGCCCGTTCATCCCCCCCCTTCCCATCCACGCAGAGCAAAACCCTTCTGGACTTGATGAAGAGCAAGTACACTCCGTTCCTGCCCGCTTCCTCGGGGGTGCAGAGCAAGCTGTCCTTCGGCGGCAAGACCGGCACCTCCTTCGGGGGGGAGACCTCTAGCGACGACGATGACGACGATTATGATGATGCAGAGGAGGAGGAGGATGAGGAGGACGAAACCGAGTCTCAGTGATGCTTGTCGCAATTTTGTTGTGCGTTTTGCGATCAGCGCTGGCCTTGTCGTCGACAGGAGATCGCGTGTTCTTCAGCACCAGAAGCTATTCGAAAAAGGAAAGCTTGAGACGGAACCGGGGGGACTGAGTTGCGTGTTGGGTCAATGCTGTGGCCTCAATAGGGTCAATCAAGCTTCCAGGAGGGTGGGGCGCTTTTCGTTTTGTCGAGCATTTCTCTCTCTACGACTACACAACAGTTATCACGAGGGTGCGTCTTGAAGAGTTGTTTTATTTTCTGTTGGGAATGACGACGCTGGATTTGCGCTACACTCTGTAAATGTAAATCGTGTTTTCGTTAGGTGGTTTGTAGCGAAATGGTATACATACGGTGAACAAGCAGTTATGCCTAGCTTGAAGGACATCAACATGAAGGAAATCCCCCGGTTAAGGTCAACTTTTTTTCACAGGCATGCTGGCTCGGAGAATGTACGCCATAAGGAGTGGTATCAACCTTAAGGACACTTCCCCTGGTTAAGGAAACTTTTTTGCAAAAAAACAGGGGTGTCCTTAACTGAAGTTCGACTGTATGTGCTAGAGTGTGCTTGAAGTATGATGTTCCGAGTTGTGGCACAAGCAACGACGTATTTCTTGTTGCCCGCGAAACGTTTGTTCTGACTTTGTTTTTTTTTTCCTCGGCGTCGCTGGTGCCATGCGGCAGGTTTTCCTGATGTATTTCCCAGGCAATGTAGAACGTGCCGAACGTGTCTCAGTAAGCTCATAGTGTGTCTCAGTAAGCTCATGGGCACTATGACGGTAGGACTTCATACGCTAAGCAAGGAGGTAGGTTATCATTTGTTGGCTGTTGGAGCCGGCCTAGGCGTCAAAGCCGCGCGTTGATCGCGGACAGCAATCAGTCTGTTTAATATAACAGCAGACGACACGTTCGATTCATGTTCAAAGGAAGAAACCTGACTGTTTACCAGACACGAGCATAGTTTTTAAGGACGGAGGAGTGAATGGAGATGTTTCCGGAGAAGAATCAAGTGTCCCATTTACAGGCGATGAAACTTGTCGGGTTTTTCCCGTGTGCGTCAGTGGCGCCGGGTGTGGCGATGATGATGATGCAGCCTCTTTCGGCTGTGTCTCTGTGGCAAAATGTTGAGTGGTAGGTTTTCGCGAGCACCATACTTTGTGCCGCAGAAACCTTTATTATACTGCACAATAACAAACCTTGCAGTGGTGAGACTACGGCCTCCTTTTTCCGCACTCAATCCTCGGAGGCGATGTTAGTGTCATTTTTTTGCGGTCGATTGTTGGACTACCGTCTACAAATTCTTTGCGCCCGACGTATGGGAATAAGAAGCCTAAGGAAACTGGCTTCGCGAAATGAGCCGATGACCTGCTTGTATCGATCTGGCAATCACAGCGCTGTTTGCAGGGATGGCAACCCTGGGGGGATGTGTTCGTGGCTTAACAGCTTGACCGGACACGGGCATTAACTCTTGTTGAGAAGCACGATGACTACTAGACTACTAGTCAGCGCTGACTAGTAGTCTAGTGGTCATCGTGCTTCTCAACAGTAACAACGATGACCTTAAAGCGGAAAAGGGCTAGAAGTAGAATTCATCGCTAGGACGCCGACGATCAATGCTCTTCTGCTGGTGAAAGTTAAAGAAAGAGGCGTTTCCCTGTTGTTGCATAAGGCTAAATGATATTCATGCAAGTGCAGTCCAGGCGCAAATTACAGTAAATGTTGACTTTATTCGACATTTTCTTTACGCTTTCCCAAAGTTCGCGGACAATCGTGGCGTCCTTCACCCACGCCTCGCACCCGGTCCGATTCATGAAATGCAACTGTAGTAGTAGTGGTAGACTAGACGTCTAGTTGTTGTGTGGACGCCATGTGGATGATGATGTGGGGGCGTCAACCTCTCCCTGTGACGCTTAAACAAGAACAGCATTAGACAGCGATTTTATTACGGTATGGCCCTTCGGTGTTCACCTTGCTCGAATATTTACTCGTTTGTTGTGGCAAAACTCGTCGGCGATATTACACTTCCTTCCCTCGTGTGGCAGTCACCACGCGCCTCGGGTCTCGATCATGTGCGGGGGTGTGGGCGGTCTGTTGCAGTTCCCAGAGTCTGTACGCCTCTGTCGCAAAGGAGGGGATGTGTCCCAATAATCCCCCCTACTTTTTTTCTTGCTCGCCAGCTCTGCCTCTCACACACACACGCACCACGAGGCTGGGATTGATCTTCGAGGTCGAGGCATAGGCGCCTCCACCGGCACCAGGTGAGGCAGACACGAGGGTGGCGTGATGTATCAGAGAATAGTCTATGCCTCTGTGACTCTCCTGTGCTTCTGCCGCTATGGACTTTTCCAAAGCTTGTGTTGGGTGGTTGCTGAGCTTTGTTCCTTGCTGTGGTTGTCGAGCTCCTCCCGTGCGCCCTCGCCTTCCGCTGGTGGTGCTGCTGCTGCTGCTCGTCCAAGACGCAAGGGTCGCTCACACCTTCCTTCTTGCTGCGTCCGTGGTTAGATATGCGGAAGGATTGTCTGGATTGCTCGTAATTTTTGTCGGATGTTCACCACACAAACCGATTTGACAACAGCAGAGCCATCTCTCAACATGTGTAATTTGGGTGAGTGGCTGTGCGGCAACAGCAACGACCTCGTCTCGCTCTCGTCTCCCCTAGTGGCCACTCCTTGAGGTACACACCAGTACCTGTCACTCTGGCTTTCACCAAGACGTTTTACTTCAATCCGCTTCTACTGGAAGTACGGATGAGCAGTAGGCTAACACGGCAGGCATCCCCGTGCTACGCCGCCGCTGCTGTGCCATGCGATCTCAAACCCTTGTTTTCATTCTCGCCCGCCCAATGTTGTTGACAGACCCCTGAGTGAGGTATCAACCCCGCGTCCACGAGAGGAAAAACAGAGCGGCTGCCCTTGTATGTTGACATGCACTGACAGCGTGACCTGGTTTGTGCATCCCGCGTAAGCAGGCGCATAGGAATCGTCGCCGCCTCCGGAGGTAGCCTCCACCGCCACCATCGTTCATCATGGCGTCGTCTCTCAGAAGGCAGGTGGACGCCTTGCGGCATGCCTCCTCCGGCACCTCGTCCGGGTACATCCAGAGGAAGAAGGGCAAGCCGTCCCTGCTACTCACGCCTGATCAGGTGAGACGATGGTAAAAGCGCCGTAAACACGTCCTGTGCTGTGGGCGCGGTGACGTAAAGAAGCCACCACCTGTCGTTTTATAGATGCCACCCCCTCTCCCTTTCTCCAACACCTGGCCGTCAGTACACAAAAAAGCGTTATTTTTTCACGCGCGTATGGACAATACTGCCGCCGCTGCGCACACACCCCCGGGTTTACGATCTCTCGTCTGCTGCCTTATATTATATATAGTCCATGTGTGTTTCACGGAGCCTCAGGATATCTAATCTTCGCAGGAAAATATTAACCGACATTGTGCTCTCTCCGCGCTACACGTACACGTGGGAAGCGTTCCCCGTTCTCCTTTAATTATATTTTGATCGGTCTCCTCGACGCTCTTTCTCGTTTGGTGCGGTAGCTGGTCTTTCTTTCTATCATTTTGTTTCTCTTCCGAGTGGTTTTTGTACCCTTTTATTATTTTTCTGTTTCTTCGTGGGGTCGTGTATGCCGGGTTGTGAGACCACGGGCTCCCAATCTATCTTTTTTAGAGCTAATGTGAGAAACAACAACAACAACAACAAACGTCTGAAACTCTCGCGCCAGGCGGCCGAAGTGGACCTGTCGTCCGTTAGGGAGACTGCCGTGATGGGGCTTCAGCGATTGGAGGCCGTGGACCAAGACTTTTCCCCTTTCCAGGTGTGTTTATTCCTTCTTGTGAATGAACGTACGCGAAAAGAGGTCTGGTTCCCAAGGACGTGACGGAGGGATAAATGCGCGCGAAACTCGACGCAGCAGCAGCCAGCAGTGGCACATAGCTTTCGCGCGACGTCTCCCGCCCAAGCTTGGGCGTGAGTGAGCGATATTTGACCCTCAGACCTCACCATCCCTACTTATGGTTGTCACTTGTTGTGGTGCACAGCAGTGTCGAGAGCCATGAAGTCGACTTGTCAGTCCGCAAGCATGTAGAAGCAGCAATATCACTACTGCTTCGCCGACACTATTCTCGTGGGAAAGTGTGGCTCAGTTGTAAAGAGAGGTTTTGTGCAGGGCACATCCATAGATTCGTTTTCTCCTCTAAAAATGTTCTACAGTCGGTAGGGAGGCGTTCTGTACTGTGTCTTCCGTCCTACGGGCCGCCAGTCTACAGCTCTGGGTACGTGCTTGACCCAGACGCCGTGGTTAAAACAACAAACACCCCGGAAATCGAAGGTGCTGTTTATGTCAGCGCTCCTCTTTGCCTCTCGGTGTGGATCAACCCCACCCACCACCGAGTCTTCCATATGGCAGCGCAAGATCAATCGTCTGACAGCGATGGGCTTCTGGGCATTCCTGGTCTGTTCTTTTCCCACGACGACCCGGACAATCAGAGCCCGCACATTACCTTTTGCGCCTGGCTGCGCGTACACGTACCGCGGTATGCAGATGACGTGATACGTCCTCTTCGTGTCGTTACTGCTTGAGAGTGACAAGGCCAGAGTAAACGAACAAAAAAATTCAGAGTTGCCTGTCAACGTGTCACGTCGATTCAATGTTTTCCCGATCCCGATCCCCCCCGTCGAGCGTGTCTTGGTTTCTTCAAGATCTGATTTTCCGATCTGTCATGAACAGCAGTCTAAGGAAGTGCCAACCTGGTATGACCAATTGATTATCCAATCACCCCGCCCTCCGGCGTATCTTTGTTCCTTGTCAAACTGATCTCCGATCAGTCCGCAGATTCCGACAGTCCGCAACCGTATGACGAATTGATTCCCCGCACGCCCCCTCCATCATCTCACAGGACACTCTGTTCAGCAAGGAAGCGGAGGGTACGCTGCGCGACCTGCAGACCAAGGAGTCGAATGAGCGCATCGACAAGAGCATCTCGGCGTTCCTGGCCCTGCTGTCCCCTCACTTCTCCTGCCGAGAGGCGCATTTCTGCCTCGAGTACCTGATCCGGCACTACAAGGTCTACCAGTACAACGTCGACGCCGTCGTGGAGTGCTGCCTGCCGTGGCACGACACCGTGGCCTTTGCGCGGATGGTTCAGCTGCTCAGCCTCAAGGGGTCGAGGTGAGCGAACGACTTTGAACGAATCCTCTCCGCTTGCCGTGAGGGGTCCGTAGTCCTCAGTTTTGCGTGCCGGGCGTTGTGTGTCGTGAGTCGTGCCCCAGCAGACGCTTAGGCCGCTGTTGCCAGCCTTGAAACGACCCCTCAAGGTGTTGCGTTGTAGATAGCTCATCGAAGGCAGCGACCGCATGTAGAAAGTAGCAGAAGAGACAGCGACGTATTGGATGGGAGCAAAGAGTCAAGATTCCTGCCGTCTGCATGCACACGGTGTGAAGAGGTTGTATCTTTTGTTGGAACGGCGCCAACACAGGCACGCTTCCGACTCTTCGTCGAGAAATGTTCTTTAAATGTTTATTCGGTGACGGTCGACGTGCTTGGTCGATCGTGCAACTTTCGATTTTAGTCAACAGCAGTCGAAGATGAACGCCACCTGTCCATGCACTTACCGGCCCATGCACATTTGTCCCGCTGACATTGAAAATAGAAAGCAGTATCCCTTGTGATCATGACAACATTCTCCATGGTAAACGCCCTCAGTCTTCACAGCCTCTAGGTTGCTCACGAATCTCTGAAACAGCTTGGCCCGTCTTTTCTTGAAGAGACTGTTATTGCCCCACCCCCAGGGGATATGATTATGAGCAAGTCTGCAAGGATCACATCTGACAGCTGTCAAGGTTTCTACGACCGACGTCTACTTCCCGCAGCAACAACCAAATGTGCTTGCTCTCATACAACATCTCGTTCCGTTTGATTGATTCTTCGACATGCAGCAGTGTAGCAGGTTGGGGGAGATATTAATAGATGCTGGATCTAAGCAACCTTTACCTTGCAGTGGTACCATAGCTGTCAAATCGTGAATGAAATGTGAGCGGTTAATGTGTACTTCAGTTGTTGGATTTCACCGATAAAAAAACAGCTTGTTCGGCCGCCAATTTTGGTCGTTATTCTGACTGGTCTACTGGTTGGCGTTTTCAGTTGCAGCAAATCTGTGGACACGGTCGCGTAGTTTTCTCCTCATGGTCGAAGCGGAAGTGGCGCAGTCCCCTCGGAATACTCCGTCTTTATCTCTCTCATCCGATGTGACATTTTCAAACCAGCAGAAATCAAGGTATGGAAGAACAGACTTTAGAGATGGTCTGCTAGCTCTCCCGCAGTACATCACATGCCATACCCGAGTTGGATACTCTTGGCTTAGCTCAGGCACCCTTGTCTGTGTATTGTATACTTCTGTATCGGAATGCCCACAACCAGGAGTGGTGCACTCTTTGCGGCGCAGGGATAAATGTCTCTCATGAAATGCTTATTTACGCCCCATTACGGTGATGCGATGAACTCAATGGGAGTTCGTGACACAAATGCCCCCCTTAACTTTTTTTTAATCACACCGCATTCTTTGATAACAACTATTGAACCAGACCGGAGTTCCTGACCCAATCGTGCCCCATGACCCAATCGCCCCGCATTTTGCAACAAAACAATGAACAGATGGGAGTTCCTGACTCCCGTTCAGAAGACCGGATCTCCGCTACCCCGGGAAGCCATTGCCCGGAGATGTGCACGAGACTTCGGCCTCCTCCGTTTCCTCTGCGTGTCGGCGCGCCGGTCTGCAGCCCGTGCCGCGTCCTGTTCGGTGTCGGCGGCGCAATCAGCGTCGACGTCGTCTGTCAGCGCGGCCACGGCAGCCGGCAGGGCGAAGCTTTTCTCGTTTTACGCGGCGACCGTGGTTGAGGCTTTGGCGTCCCTGGGCACGACCTCCGATCCTTTGCTCCGAGCGTTGGTGCCCACTGTTGTGCACGGGCTGTCTGCTACCAAGTCCCCCGAGTATCAGGTGGGTGGTGGCGGCGCGGCCGAGGCAATAGATGTTTTTATTTTCTTGCAAGTGTCCGGCTCACAGCTATGCGAGCGTGCCGTGTAATCAGATTCGTGGCAAGTGCGAAGTTGTGCATTGAGTGGACCGGGTAACCTGAAGCGGGGCGGGGGTTGTTTTGTGTGTTCCTCCCCTCCTCCTGAAGGCGTTGGCTCTTGTGCACTTTGGGAGAAAGCTAGACATCGCTTGTTCGCCATACATGCCCGTTCCTCTGCCTTCACATCTCCTGCCGTGCTGTTTCGCAACACACGTTCAGTCTCACTGACCAAACCCGAATCAACTGCTTCCCAGATGGCTTCGTACATGATTCTATCGGCTTTGTCGGGCAAGGGTCCTCTTGCACCGGACGTCACCTGCCAAGCGCTTACCGCCCTCGTGTGCAAGCCTTGCCAGGGGGGATTAGAGCCGTCCCTGCTGTGTGCCCTTGCTGTCGCCCAGGTGCGTCTCGTCAATGTTTGGGAGGGCGATTTGCCACGGCTGCTGTTGTGTGTGTAGGTTTCGGGGATATGGTTGTTTTATCACGTGCTGTTGTTTGCGCTGGTCGACGGTACTCCGGAGAGCGAATTCAAGGACGCGAGAAGTCAAGAGCATAGGTGCATGGTGTTTGACGTGTACCGCCCGGTGCTGATGACGAAATTTTCCAACAATATATTCATGCGTGTCAGATGACTGCGGCTGTAGTGGCCGTTGCATGATCTCACTGCTTAGAATCCGATGCACCGGGCTGCTTGTGCAGCACCTATTTATATGATTGGACTTATTCATTCGCAGTGTTGATGTTCACGGTCTGCTGGGTAGATGTTGCCTTCCAAGTAGTCGTGCGTTGCAGATGACGCGGCCGCCATGCACTCAGGCATGGTCGTTGTAAGCAGGTTCTGGCCTTCAGGCTGCATTTGATGTGTCGCGTCTGAACGTTGTGGCTTCACGCGCGGCAGAAGGTGGATCCCAAAGTTCTTTCATGTCATCGACTATCATGTGCTGTTGTCCGTTGGGAATCTCACGTGGGGGCGTTGTATCCCACGATTTTGGTCGGGTGTTGCTCTCGGTCGGCGACTTTCCCTTCATACAGTTGCCTGTAAGGGCCCGGGCCTCTTGCAGCGCTCTGATGTCGATTTCCTTTGTACAGAGTGGACCTCAGGTCCGGAGTCCGCGTATCACGCTAGAAGTTCCGCTCGTTGCGCACAGGCCGTGCCTCTCTTGGCATTCTTCATTCTTGGCACCGCGTCCATCTCTTCGCGCAGACACAAGTGGGTTTCTCGTCGAAGAAGGATCCTTCGAACCCGTCGGCGGCGGCACCTCTTTTGCTTCCAACCGCTGCTTTCGAGAAGTTATCAGCTATGGAATCTCTCGCGGGTGTCCTTGCGGGCCTTGCCCACAAGTTTGACGCGACAGCGTTCTTGTGGCTACTGCTTCAGAGGTGTGTGTGCGAGCCGTTAGAAAACGTAATCGAAAAATGAACTAGGGAAAACCACGCCATCTGCTTCATTGTCGCGAAGTGCAGGATTTGGTCAATTGCGTATAGACAAGCTAAGGTGCGAACTGCTTAATGTCGTTGTCGAAGCACACGTTGTGCTTTTTGGAACAAGATTTGGCCCGTCGTTGATGATATCTACCCTTCTTGGAGGCCGGCGGGCGGGGGGGGGACAACATCCTCATTCAAGACGCGTGTAATGAGCCAAACCATAATTCGCTACGTTCGTTGTTGGTAGCATAGGTTAGGATTCATTTGATAGGGTCGAACAAGAAAACCTTGCCCGAATGACCACATTCAAAAGCTGGACCGACCTTGGGTTGCCAAGAGCCTGTCACGGCCTACATGTCAACCACGCCCTTCTTTTTGGTTTGTTGGTTGGTTTGCTGGACGACTTCAATCACCCTTGTTCTGGGGTTGACATATGTTTTTCGCTGTTCCCTGACAGCTACGTGCAGCACCTCCCTGACCGAGATAGCCGGCACGGAGAGTCCCTGACGAGGCTCTGCACCTACCCGTACTGGCCTCCGCACTCGCTTCCACGTCTCATTAGGAGACTTGTGGACCGCGTCATCAGGTCGTTCTTGGCCTTGACTCTGGAAGGTGAGCTTGGTTCGTTGTGGTTCTTGCTTCGCTCAATCACACGGTTTGGTTATTTTGACGAAAGCCGCTCGTGTGTCAGCGGGTGAACAGAGCTGCTTAGCTTTTTGCTTGGCGTTTGGTCTATTATCAGGTTCGATGGTGTGGTACCCGTTTGTAACGGTCCACCTTCCTTCTTGTCGCGATTGAAGGCAGCCGTGGTCAACTTTGCGGAAACCACTGCTGCGTGGCCTGTTGTTGACTAGAAATAAAGCCTCCTGTTCTGTCTTCTGTTGTTGGTTTTCGATCGTGCTGTAGTCTTGGAGTAACGAACCATGAACTCGTTGGTCATTACAGGCGCCGAACATGAGGCCGCCATGGAAGAAGACGACGCACCGCAAAAGAGCCGCCGATCTGCCGCGATGAAGACCGAGAGCCAGGCCGTGAGTTTGACGTCTCTAAACAAACTCCACGACATTTGTCAATCGTTGTTGAGGTGTCGTGACTGCGATGGTTTATCGTTCGTATTAAAGCATCGTGTGATCGGCGACATTCAGACTCATGCCTTTCGTTGACTCTTGAGCGATGTTCTGTGCGCTCTGTGCGTCAGAACCCTTCGTTCTCTCGTGTTATCTCATCCCTCTTTTATGTCAGTGCACCATGTTTGTGGTAAAAATGGACTTGATGGAGCCTATAAGCGAAAGGAATGGTTTTAAATGTCCAATTATAGGAAAGAGGAAGGCCACTCGCCCTCAACGGGCCTCAACGGGGGATGATGAGCGATCCACGTGGTCCGTGTTATGGATCAGCCGGTTCAAGACCCGTGCTATGACGCAGGCAGTGTCTCAAACAGAGAAATCCTGACCCAGACGTCCTTCGTGATGCTTTGAAACTATTAATTAAGAGAGTGCACAATTCATTGTTTGTGTTAACCGAACAAATGAGGTGTGCCCGACGTGGCGTGTGTGTGATGAGCGATTCACTTGGTCCGTGTTTTGGATCAGCCGGTGTAAGACCCGTGCTATGACGCAACCAGTGTCTCAAACAGAGAAACCCTGACACACGCTCGTGGTGCTGACCCATTTGTTGTGCAACAAGACATGGTGAAGGGATGAAAATGATCGTAGTATGTTCATGGTTGTAAACAACCCTTTGCTTTCTCGAATTTCAGTTGCCAAGGTGGTATGGAACTAAAGTCTTGGAAGCGCTGGTTGATCGGCATTGGACCGATGATGATCCCGCCTTGTTTTGGAAGCAGCAAACAAGTTTTACTCTTTGTGGCGTGGGATCCCTCTTTCACGCTCGTATACCCACTGTTTGACCTTAATATCGTATGTCCGGCGCCAATCTCTGAACAATTATTGCAGATGCAGTTGATATTGCCCTTTGTTCGTGTTGTCTCCATGTAGTGGTGCACACCGACTGTCATCCTGTTGGGTGCCTACAGTGCTCACCAACTATGAGCAGCCAGAGCTTGCATGGGGTCGGATTCAATGTTGCGGGTTAGAGAGGTGGTGCACTGTGTGTATGATGAGCGATTCACTTGGTCCGTGTTTTGGATCAGCCGGTGTAAGACCCGTGCTATGACGCAACCAGTGTCTCAAACAGAGAAACCCTGACACACGCTCGTGGTGCTGACCCATTTGTTGTGCAACAAGACATGGTGAAGGGATGAAAATGATCATAGTATGTTCATGGTTGTAGACAACCCTTTGCTTTCGTGAATGTCAATTGCCGAGGTGGTATGGAACTAAAGTCTTGGAAGCGCTGGTTGATCGGGATTGGACCGATGATGATCCCGCCTTGTTTTGGAAGCAGCAAACAAGTTTTACTCTTTGTGGCCTGGGATCCCTCTTTCACGCTCGTATACCCACTGTTTGACCTTAATATCGTATGTCCGGCGCCAATCTCTGAACAATTATTGCAGATGCAGTTGATATTGCCCTTTGTTCGTGTTGTCTCCATGTAGTGGTGCACACCGACTGTCATCCTGTTGGGTGCCTACAGTGCTCACCAACTATGAGCAGCCAGAGCTTGCACGGGGTCGGATTCAATGTTGCGGGTTAGAGAGGTGGTGCACTGTGTGTATGATGAGCGATTCACTTGGTCCGTGTTTTGGATCAGCCGGTGTAAGACCCGTGCTATGACGCAACCAGTGTCTCAAACAGAGAAACCCTGACACACGCTCGTGGTGCTGACGCTTTCGGTCCACCGAGGACTAGGACTACAAGCGTCTTGCATAGCTCGATGTTGCAGCCTGCTGGTATTGTGTTGGCTGCATGTTATTCCAGTCCGCGCCGCAGTGGTCTGGTGCTCTTTTGTTGAGATGTAATCATAGACGTGGTAGTATGTGGAAAGGGTTCACACATTCCTTGGAGGCTATAGGCTTGATGCTTAACATCTCTTTGTTTTCGTGAAGGTGGGTTGCGTCCTTGTTTCTGTCGTTGGTGTTGGCCTTTCACCGCGTTTTCCCGTAAAACAGCGGTACAGCTGTACCCCAGATATTTTGGTGTTTATGTTCTGTCATCAAGTGTTTGTGCTTCACGTCTTTTTTTTTTTTTTCGCGAAACAGCAGTACTGTAGCCCCGACGATTGGGTTGATCGTCTGCAGGGGCGTTTTTGTGTTGCCTCTTTTGGTTTTCGTGGGACAGCAGTTCTGCTGTGTCTTGAGCTTTTGTGTCGACTGCTCCTCGTTTCAAGGGCGCTGGACCCCGGCTGCGTGCTGGGGATGGAAGGAATCCTCGGGTATGGAGCATACATGAATGCATGCAGGTCCTTTCCGTTTGTCGGTTTAGTCCGATGCGTGTGCCGGGGTTGGGCGCATTGAGCTGTTCTCCATTGCTGCCTTCTGGCGGCCTGCGGAGCATGGCCACGCCCCATCCCGGACATCTTCTTTTCCATTAGAACACGGTCCGATATGCTTGAATTCGTGAACGTTCCTTTTGCGCAAGTATGCGTCCCCAAAACCAAAAACCCCAAAACACTCGTCAAATTTATAGTTTTGGTGTTGAGCCCCAAATAGGTATATTCAAAAAGGTGAACAACACAACCACATCGCACAACCGTCGTTAGCATACGAGAACGTTTGGTTTGGTGTTGAACCTGTAGTCTCGACTAACCTTTTGCCTGACGCCTTTTTCGTCTTCTTTCACGTGCAAGGTGTTGCGGGTACTCAGCCAGCGTTACCCCGATGATGTGGATGCCGCCGTGGCGAAGATCAGCCGTAGCGTTGCTAAGGCCAAGGTGGCTACGGCCAAAGCGGCTGTGCAAGAAGATGACCAGGGAACCGATGCCGTTGGGACCGTGACGGCCAAGCGTGAGGCTCATTTGAAGGAGGAGGCGTTGTCGTCTCTGTTGGTCTCAACGTTCGCCGGTGCACAGCTTGCTCCGCATTTGCCGCTGCAGCAACAGGAGCAGGATGTGAGTTCGTGACTGCGTGGTACGTAGGTAGGGGGCACCATCGTTGCCGATTCGCTCAGGCTGCACACCTTTGGGAGATTGCAAGGCGTCACTGTTGAAAATCGCCCCCGCGGTGCCAAGTTCTTCACAGCTATGACGCACATTCTCATACCTGTGTTTCGTTTGTCCAACCCGATGGCTCCTTGTATACGGCACCTCGCTACCCTGCGACGCTGTCGATTGCGAAGGTAGCAACTGTGGGCGAGGAAGGCCGTGAAGATGATGCTGTTCATGGGTCACTAATTGTGGCTCTTGAGCACTCGTCCGCCACTGTGCGAGCCCGAGCCGTCGAACAATTGTCTCGCGCATTGTCGAGCTCGGTGGCGAGTGATGGGGCGCCGGCCGGAGAATCAGCATCAACGTCCGCCGGGGCTGTCGAAGACCTATCGCCGGTCCTTCTCAGGCGGCTGCATGACGAGGACCCCGACGTCGTCCTCGCTATCACCGAAAGCGATACCCTTGTTCAACAAGTTCTTCTCCGTCCTCGTTCTTCTTCTCCCATGGCGGACGATTCCACTGGTATCGATGGTGTCGGCGGCGCGGACGATTCGGATGGAGTTGATCGAGCCGTCGTGGTTGCGTCGGCCGCGATGACTGCCGCGGGTCCGTGGTTGTCGGCTATCTCGGAGGCGAGGCCGAAGCGCCCCGTAGCTTCGGCAGGTAGGGTGTTGTGCGGCCTCGTCCGCCTCGCGGCCGCTGCGTATTCTGCGTGTGAAAGAGTGTCTGCGGGGGTCGAACAGGCCAGGGATTCCGCGATGTCGCTGCTGCTGGAGTGTCTGCCGGGCCCGCACGCGACCGCCCGCGTGAAGTCGGCGCAGCGACAGGCGGTGTGTGCAGATGGTCGCGGGGACCTTGCTACCGAGGAGGGTGCGACGGACCCGGCCGCCGCCACAGCCACCGGAAAAGCTTGCAAAAAGGCCTCGAGAGCGGTCGGTCGCGCGGCGATAAAGGCCGTCAGCAGGTTGGGTGTTGGCGTGAAGGGCGAGGCCTTGGCCGGTCTCTTCGCCGTTGTCAAGAAGGTTTTGGAGAAGCCCGACAACGAAGGAAGCGGCAAGGGTTCGGCCGCCAAAAACCCCGGCAAGGACAAGGACAAGAGGAAAAAGTCGGGTGACGAGGTCGACCTTGAGGCGGAAGGGGTCAAGTCTAAGGGCCTTAAGGTAATGGGGGAGGAGGTTTGCGATGCTCTGGCGGCCGCCATTGTGGGTCCAGGCGATCTGGACAGCAAAAACCGTCAGTTGCAGGTGATGTTGTCGTTCTCGGCGGTGGGGAAGTTTTGCGTCCTCAGTTCAACTGCTGGAGGCATTCGATGTCAACTGGAGGTCGTGTGAACGTGTGTCGGTCGTGGGGCTTGAGCAGAACGACCTTTCAATACTATTCAGTGAAACTGGGTCCGCTTTCGTTTTGGTTGCTGTCGGGGACGCGGTGCTTGTATGTATAGTTGGCAAGGTGAACGAAAGGCTGGACGGTGATGATGAAGCTTTAACCGGCACTTATGTGTCCTTGATGCTCCATGGAGGAATATTTTTAACTGCAGTCTGAATCGTCCGTATTCGTTTCACCCTGTTGCCTGTCATATCGGTAAAGGTTTTTTTCCGAAACCATGTTGATGTCCGTTAGACCGGTTTGGCAATGTAGCGGGTCTGTAGGCTGATGTTCGAATGATCCCGCCTTCCCTGCTGTGCTGGTTGTGTTTTAAAACCGTACTCTTACATACAGCAGTATCAGTCTCTCGCTTGCCAGCGTGTTAACACGAATATACAGCGGTGCTTATTTTTCGCCGCAGTCGGCGTTTCATCCTGCAGCGTCCACAAGAGAACCCCGAAGTTTACTCTATATTTCGTATCTCTCGTCTTGTCCATGCCCATACCGACGCAGGCCCTTCGAGAGACCTGTGGTGCCGGTGGTCGCTGGCTCATTCTGGAGTGCACCTACCGCGCGCTGAACCTCGCGTCTGCCAGCTCTAGCAGTGGCAGCAACGCCAAGGCTCGAGTGGCGGCTACAGCAGCAGCGTCCAGCCTCTCCTCGCTGCTGGCCTCTCTGGCGACGTCCGAGCTTGGCCTCCGCCCTCACCTCCTTACTGCCGGTCCGGACGGAGATGATGCCAAGCGCGTGGGCGCGGTCGGCGCCGCGGACCTCTTGCGGTACCTCCGAGCCTGCGCCGAGCACCTGCCCCGTCCGGAGCGATCGTCGTCACTCTTTGCCGAGGACCACGTGGCGGCGTCAGCGGCCACTGCGTGCGTGGGCGGGAATGGTGCGACGTCCGTTGGCGGGGATGGTGTTGCAGTTACTTCGGCCCCGCTTCTCGGCGACGTGCTGGTGTCGGTTCTGACGGCAACAGCCGAGGGTGGCAGGAAAGGTGGGGCCACCGCGGTGTGGGAGGCCGTGAGCTCCGTAGTGCTGAACGGGTACGAGCGGCGGCCACTGCCCGCCCTCGCCGCCGTTGCGATAGACGGCGTTACCGTGGCCGCAAGACGGGGTCGTGGAGTTGCAGGGCGACAGCAGCCGAGACGTGGCGGAGGGGTTGACGAAGCGAAGGTGTTCGCCGCCGCCCGTGCGCTCTGCGTCGCCGCGACGTTCGTGATAGCTGCGGCGAAGGCGGTGGCTGGTGGGGACACGGTCGAGGACAAGGAGTCGTCGAAGGCGGCGGAGAGAGACATCGTGGCCGTCTTCCCCGCCGCGGTGCTTGCTATCGCGTCGCATGATGAGGTGTGTACTCTCTACAATTAGGATTTGCGTTTGTCAGTTAGGAGTAAGGGCGGCCTTCAGTTGGGTTGTTCGATGCGCCCTTTTTGGCCGGTGTTTTGCAGTGTTGCGTTTCGATCAAGATGCCGTCGCCTAGCACGCTAGCGGCAGCGCCGGTGCCCACGCTGCTGATAAGAGATGTCACATTCGGTGTTTTGCAGCACGTGCTGCCTATCTTGAGTTGGACTGATTTTTCGCCTGGGATGATAACCGCCGCCGCGCTTAAGCTTTTTTTGCTTGGCACCCTCATGAGGCTGATCTGCGGTACTGAAACCCAGGGAGATCAAACCACCATTTAAGGGTTGCCGTGCAAAGCTGCCCTTAGGTGAGGCGGTTGCATTTCGTCGCGATTTACCCGAGCTGTTTTGACCGACGTTGCGCCGTGGAAGTTAGGGCTTCGAACCCCGTGAGCTTCCCATGGCCGCTCTAACAAGTCGCTTCGCCGCCGCCACAATTTGCCAGATTTTTGGCGACCTGTTTTTCTTCTTTTTGCTGGACCCTTTGGTAAAGGCTGCCATATAAATCTTTCGCACTTTCGCGCGAGGGCTTGCATGGAAAGTGGGGCTAGAATACTGACGTGGCTGTGTTGTTCCCGATATGCTACGACGTATGATCCTTGCTCATTCACTTGAAAAGATTGTTTTGTAGGATGCGGTGAGAGTTGCGACAAGCTCATAACTATCGGTTCCTGCCACGCCGTTCTTACAGAGTAAGTGCGAAAATGTAAACATTGCTTCAGGGTTGCCAGCGACCATGTTCCAAAGTGACAATGCGATGCAAATTTCCCGTCGTGGTTTTGCCTCATGTTTTCTTCGTGGCGAAAAAAAAAAGGGCCTTCGAGATAGCGGCCTTTTGTTCATCACCACCGTGTCTGCACACGGCCATGCTCTCAGCGCTGAGTCGGCCAGAAGCAGCAGTGGTGCGTCTTCAAGAGGGGCCAAGAAAAGCAAGCCCACCCCCTCCCCCGGTCCGGAGGTCAAAGATTCCGAGTTCTTGCCATTGGGTCAGGTGGGGCATGGTGCGGCCCAGCCGTCACCTCTTAACGCGCCCTCGTTGTGTAGCCTCGTTGAGCTTGCGTCGGCGCTTGCCGGGAAGAGCCGCGAGTCCGCGCTCGATGCCGGGGAGCTGACCCGACATCTTGCCACCGTTTTGGGAGAAGCTGCCGGTGGTGGCTGGCAGGAAGATGTCTTGCGGTACCTTGTGGCATGGGCAGCCAGGCTCGGGTGGAGAGATCCTACCGCCTCTATGTTCCTGCTGGAGTGTTTTGTGTGGGCGAAGACACCAATGAGGTAAGGATTTTATTTTCAATCCTGGTCGCCAAAGGTTACCAGAAGGATATGTCGCGCGCTTCTGGCTTTGCTCGTGCACGGTATGTGTTGTAGCTCTCGAGCAGTTCCTCGAACTGGAAGCCAGGCAATTATATTACACGAACATTATGTTAACGCGGATTTTCTTTTTTCGTGAGGTGTTTGTCATTTCATCGGTGTGGTATTTGATGGGAGAACAATGTCTGGGCCATGACGAAATGTAATGGAACAGAGGTTCTGATCAGTTCAAAAACTGAACCGCAGATACACCCTTGGCTGTCCGAGCCCTACGTAGGATCGTTTCCCGTCGACTCATCAGCAAGCCGTATTGGCAAATATTCCGACGATGAAGCGCCGTAAACATGAGCGTACCCCGGCTAGGCGCCGTAGCAGCAAGCCTGTTAGGCAAGTTACTTTCCACCATGACGTCGCCAACCCTTGTGAGTGCTGAACCTGATACGCTGATTGTGGGCCTTGTGAGGAATCTTGTAACTGCTGTTGGACGTCGCCAATCAGTTACGATGCGTTCCGGTTCTCGTCTGTTGGGTCGATGATGTCTTGCACCAGGATCGACCGTGGTCCGTATTTTGCTTTAAGGCTTGACCCAACTTCTGCGCAAGTTGACACCCGAAAAGGGCGGCACACGTGATGCATTTGTGTGGTTTTGCCGTGATGTTACTGTGGTTGCCTCTTTTCTGGCAGAATCCCGACAGCAAGCACGATTGCTTCCCATTCTGAGAACAGTCGGCTAGACGGGTCGTCGCAATCTCCAGTTTGTGCTGCGGCCTCCTTTCTCCGTCATGCATCAGCGGTGCTTGTTCTTGAATGGATTGCCCTTTTCGCCATTGTGTGTTGTGCTTTGCAGGGAGTGCTGCTTGCCGCTTCTGCGCTGCCTCTTAGACTCGGAGCAGGCCCGAAACCACCCGAACAATGAACATCTCCTGAAGATCCTCCTTACAGTCACGCTCAACCCTTCCGTCGGCGACGCAGCTGTGGTGGCGGTGGCAGCGAGTGATCGGGAAGGGAGCAGCAGAAATACCAAGAGTCCCAATAAAACGCGCGGGAGCAAGGGCAAGTCCGAGGACAAGGCAAGCGCCGCCGAAGATTCTCCGGCATCCGCATCGTCGACCATATTCCCCAGCGTCGATGCGGAACAGCTAATGCATAGGGCGCTGAGGACTCCCGGGCCCGCGCAAAGTCATGCCCTGCACTGCCTGTGTGCAACCTCTGTTTCGAGCGTTGGCGCCGGGGCCCAACCAGTCGGGGGAGACGAATCCACCCGCCAGAGGCGTGATCTGGTTGTTGTCCTCGTGGAGGCCGGTCTCGCCGGTGCCGACGGGAGTCTAGTGGCTGCGGCGGCGCGGGCTTTGCCCTGCCTGCCGGGCGATATCGCGGCTCTTCTTGCTGGCTTGTCACCTCTCTCAGGTGCCGGTGCTGGAGCTGCGACCCCTTCCAAGGTAAAGATGACGGATGGGTCTTGCACGTTTGGATACTGTTTTGCTGGCGATTCCTGTATTCTTCTCTGTTCGTTGGCCCTTTGTGCCTAGCGTAGACCTCTCGCCTGTTTGATATCCCTCAAAGAGCTTTTGGTGCTATCGTTGGTAGCGGTTGATTAGAGCACCCGTTTTTTTTCTTGGCATGTTCTTCGTGGTGGTGTTTGTGTTTTGGGGATATGGGAAGGTTTTCCTGTGGTGACGTCGATTGCGGGAGGTGGAAGTCCGCCGGCTGACGGTGATAGCAGTACGCCGGCAGTTTTGCTTGCGATTGGCTGGGCTTGAGTTTGGTTCCGACTCTGGCTTGTCTATTGCGACGTTTTTTTTACAGCGCTCCTCTTTGCCTCTCGGTGTGGATCAACCCCACCCACCACCGAGTCTTCCATATGGCAGCGCAAGATCAATCGTCTGACAGCGATGGGCTTCTGGGCATTCCTGGTCTGTTCTTTTCCCACGACGACCCGGACAATCAGAGCCCGCACATTTTCCAAAGCGTAAACGACGACGCCGTCCCTCTCATCCAACCGGGACGACGGATGTCGTGGGTTTCCCCCGCTTATTTTTTGTTTGTTTGGTTGCTCCCGTGAGTGTGTGGGACATGCCCACACCCTCAGGAATGGAGCCAAAGGTTGCTTTTATTGAGAAATATATCTCACTCCCTCCCGCACGACCCACGCCCTTCTTCCCCCCCCCATGAACCACTGTGCAATGAAATTCGGTTGGTGTTGGTGCAGCAACACAAAAAGAAACAATCAGCAACGATCAAGGCCGATGCCGCAACCACCGAGACGGGCTGGGTGTTTACCCTCGGAGGACTGGTCGAGCTAGCCCAGGCCCTCTGCGGCGCTTCGTCGTCTTCGTCTTCGGTGCCGCACCAACAGCAACAATCACAATCACAATCAGTATCCCATCCAACCAAGGGTGCAGCTACCGCCGGGGGGACGACCAGCGCTGAAGGCTGGGGCTGGGCAGGCCCTCTGGCGATCGCGCGCCCGCTTTTCGATGTCTTGCTCTCGCTACTCGCCGTCGTGACCAAGGGAGCGGCAGAGGAAGAAGGGTCGTCCTCTACAGCAGTATCGAGGGGCGACGTTGTCGATGCCGCTGAGTACGGGCTCTGGTTAACGATGGACGTTTTGGGGAGCGTGCTGCGGCGGTGGGGCAAGGGCGGCGTCGGCGGCGGTGGCGGCAGCGCGGCCGCGGAGAAGCTGTACGACGGGTGCCGCGCCGGGGAAGATGCAGAGACGGTGTTGACTTGCGTCAGCGAGAACCCTAGTCCACAGACCAGGTAAGGTGAAACCTTTTCACGTCCCGTCTTTGTGGTCTCACGAACACAAGACTGGATTTTTTGTGTTCATTTTTGCCCGTTCTATCCGAGCGCTTCTCGCAGCTTGAGGTGCGGAATTCTTTTGGAAACATCAAGCCTTGTCATTTTTCGGAACAAGGATTTGCTGGTGTTTTCGCAGGGAAGGTATGGAGAGTGGTGTTGCCACATGAAGGGGTTGACGTGATAGAGGCAACCGCAGGACTCCTGGTTGCATGGGGGCGAGCGCTTTGACGACAAAATTTTCGAATTGTGAGATCTCCTTCCTAGGGGAAATGCTCCGATATTCCATGCTAATGCTGAGCGCTTGTCTGCATGCACCAAGGGACGAACCTGTCGCTCCGTATATGCGGTTCATGATTTACCAAGCTTTTTTGTCATGGTTGTCTTTGTTTTTGTGAGTTCATAACCTGCTGCGTGTTTCGGGCGTACCCAAATTGGTTGCCGCGTTCGGCAACACCATCATTATTTTGATGGCCTATGCGTATTTGTCCCTGTTGATTGATTGCTTAGCGCTTATGTTAAAGCCATGAACACTGGCGCAAAGATGATCACATCGTTTGATCAGTGAGATCCCCTCGTGAAGGTGAACTGCTCGAATATTCCATGCTAATGCTGAGCGCTTGTCAGATGCCCGTAGGTATGAGTAGTGAACGATACTGACGTAGCTTTGTGCGTATGTTCGACGTTGTGTCTAATTCAACACCCCGAGCTTTTAGCCACTCCTCTTTCAACTGGTGGCTAAACGTTCTCCTGAAGGTCGACATTTATGTTTCGCGCTAAGAACCGCCCCTCTCGAGTTCTGGCAAGTTTTTGCGTCGAACATGAACCAAAACGGCCCGCCTTTATTTTCAGATCAACGTCTGTGCCACATTCTTGCCTGTGGATATTTCGATTCGAACGCAGCTGGACTCGATGTCTGGGCAAGTATTGGACTTGACGATGTGTTCAGACCTCATCGCCGCATTTCATACCCATTCAAACCGCAAGACCTGTCCTACTACTCTGGTTGTGCTCGACGTTTCCAGAAATAGCGCTCTGGCTCTCCTGTCGAGAATGGCCACGCTCTTCCCGGCTCAGATGACATCAAGACTCCGCTCCCTCTTGGACGCTGTGTGTGCTGGCGCCGCGGGTGGCAAGGGCCTGTCGAGTGGAGAAGGTGGTGGTGGTGCCCGCGCTGCGCTGCGGCAAACTCAGAAGGCGGTGCAGAGTGTAGTGCCTGCGCTGAAGGCGCACGGCTTCGAGGCCGGCGTTGGTGCCCACTTTGTCGTTCAGGTAAGCGGCAGCAATGTGTTTGACCGATAATCGTCGGCGGCGGGGTGTGGTTGTTAGGGTTCGTGGTCGGCCTGTTGGAAAATATTGAGCTGCCCCATCAATCGGACGGAGTGTTTTTGAATATGCTGAGGACAGCCTCGTTCGTGTGGCTGCCAACGCTTGGAAGCCATTTTGTGTGTATGTTTGTTTCCGGTCCACCTTTGGTCATACGTGTACATCCGGCCCAACCAGAAGAACTATGTGCGTACCACCGAGCAATTTCCATCGAGCGTCCCGCTGCTCATCACGTCACATGAACTATGCCGCTGTATTTTGTTCCTCGTTCTCAACTTTGTCAGAAAACTGGCTAAGCAAATGCTATTTCAATATTGAATTCGTATAATAGGTGTTCGTGGAAGCGCTCGATGACGCCCCCGCCCATGCGCGGCGAGCTCTCTTTTCGACGCTCGTCGACTCCCTCGGAGAGGAGTCGCTTCCCATCATGTCGGCCCTGTTGCTGCGGAGAGCGGTCTCGTTCGATGGCCCGGATGCTGATGGCAAGTCGGCGGACGGGGAGACGACGTCGGCTCTGATTGAGTTCGTCCACCAGACCATCCACCGCTTTAGAGCACCCGGACAAGTGAGAGAGACCGGGGACTACCAGGCCGAAACCTTCTCAGTTCTGAACGTTTTCCCGTATGTCTGCCTCCAATGTTGAACTCCAGAATTTTCAGTACCACCAGATGTGGAATTCCTGTGTGGCGCCTGCCACCGAAAGGTAGGTTCGGATGATAAGATCCACACATTATCTCGCTTGTTGGCTTTCGAAATGTTCTCTGACTCTTGCGTTCTTTCCGAATTGCCCTGCCTCGGTCCCGGTATTCGCCATCCGTTCGTTCCTGATCGAACTCGATCCTCATTGTCTGTTGCAGGTGAAAACGCTGGTAGGCCTGGTCCAAGCCTGCCACAGGCTGTCCGTGAGAGCCGCAGAACGTTCCGGGAGCATCTCCGGACAGGCTCTCGACGAAGCCGTGGAGTGCTTCGTCGAAGATTCCGCCGCCGACGAGAAAGGGGGAGATCAATTTAAGACGGACTATCTGCAGCTTCCTCTGGCACAGCAGGAACCAGCACGAGATAAGAAGGCTTCGAGCCCCGCCTTCATGACTATGGACCTCCGAGCCTTGTGCGAGGAAGACAGCAAACATGATGCCGAGAAGGAGGAAGGAATGACGGGAATATTCCTGGAATTGGTGCTGTCGTTCGTGCGGGAACACTTGGTGTCGAGGCCCCTGGTGATGGCGGTCGCTGCGGCGGCCGAGCGCGGAGCCGATGGGAAAGGCTTGAGCGAGGACGAAGGGATTCAGGAAGGGTTTCTCCTCCTGTGCGAGGTGTGCGTCAAGAGTATATGCTCGTTTTGTCAGGAGAGCGAATTGTTGTGCCCGGGGTCCCAAGGTTTGCTTGATCTAGGGTCTCCATAGATGTTTGGATTTTGGTTGATACTTGTCGTTTAGTCTGGGCTCCCTGAGGCCGGTTCCGACCTTGGCTTGTTTATTGCGACGTTTTTTTTACAGCGCTCCTCTTTGCCTCTCTGTGTGGATCAACCCCACCCACCACCGAGTCTTCCATATGGCAGCACAAGATCAATCGTCTGACAGCGATGGGCTTCTGGGCATTCCTGGTCTGTTCTTTTCCCACGACGACCCGGACAATCAGAGCCCGCACATTCTTGCTCTGCAAAACACTTGATTGAGTTCATCGATGAGTTTATAAGTTCCAACGTGAAGCTAGTTCACCAGCAAGTAGCTCCATGAAGACTCGGATTGTTTTTCCGTGCCCAACATGTGGTACGAAGGTGTTCGATTTTGGCGTCTTTTTCTTCCCCCGCTCTGTGGCCTACACATGCGGTGACGCACCGCTCCACGACCTGTAGCCGTGCTGCTCTTGCCAGTCCTCATTGCTCTTTATACGCCGCTGTGGACATGAGCTGTACCGCTCACCAATCCCCACGTTCGATCATCCCATCCACGTTCTACGCGCTACACAGACTCGGCACTTTTCTGAGCTTTTCTTTGTCTCCCTCCTTGTTGACGTTGGATTCAGGAGCTGTTGCTGTTTCTCCGAACTCTGTCGGTCTGCGGTCGGGCTTCTTCAACCGGTAGTGGAGACGAGCCTGCGTGGTCATCTCTTCAGAGCCTAGTCTATGCTGTGTTTGAGACACTGCAGTCTCTGCTGTCGGTCCCGTCTTTCGTTGCAGTCACGCAGGAGCTCCTTCAGCACCAGGTTCGTTTTTGTGTGTGTACGTCTTGTTGCCTCTGTATGGGTACGAGTGTCGTGGTGTTGAACTCTGGTTACGTCATGGCGATAAGGCGTTTTTTAGGTTCTGCGAGGGCATTGACGTAGGCACCACTTTTAATACCGTCCTGTGATTAAAATAGTATGCTGATTAAAATTCCAGAAGGTAAACCTGTGGAACAGACTACTTCTTTCCAATGAGGACTGTCGTCGTTGTGGTGTCGTGCCGAGGTACTTTGGACAGGCGACTGGTGTAGCGCCTGTCGTTTGATTGAAACCTGCTTTTCTTTTTGTCGCGAATCATAATTTGGGTCCCTACCTCACTACGGCGTGTTATTCTGGTTGACCTCGTATAATTGTAGAACATGCGCGTGGATTCGCAAGTGGGGGCTCCCTCTGTTCGACGATGATGCACTTTTCTTCATTTTGGCGAGAGCTGGCCGCAGTCGTAGCCGGAAGGGCAACACATGGGTTGTGGTTTAGTATGCCACGTGTCCCAATGCTCGGCTGCAGGATCAAACTTTCCCCGGCGGAGCCTTTTTTCCCACCTGTCGGGGTTTGTCCAATCCTGCTAGATCGAACGCATGTTATTTTGCGGTTCGGGTCTACTTTCCCGCTCAGCTTTTTGCTCCTCTGGTGTTGCGGATATACAACCCGATACATCTGTGTGCATGTATTTTACGTTTCTACCGTTGGACATGATCGAGATGGGCCTTAAACCGACGTAAACGGCCGCCGAAGTGCTTGGTCCTTTTTCCGATTTTTTTAATGTCTAGTGTTCGTGTCGTGAAACGTTGCGCGATGCTGTCCATGACGCAATCGTGCTATACCAGGCAACCGAGGAAGATTGCGTCTTTTCTATAAACCATACCCGCCGGTGTGCAGCTTCACTGTTTAAAAGGTGTTGTCCTTGCCGAAGCCTGCTCCCATCCTTGTCCCAGCCTCGTGCTGGTTGTCACGACATTACCATATATGCCACAACAGCAGCACTTGCTCCTCCCACACTCGATACTGACGTACTCCCATCGTGTGGTTCTCCATTTCTCGTGTTTTGTATAATTTTGTGGATTGTGTCTCGTGTGTTTGCGGGAGTCAGGACCCCCACCTGAGGCGGAAAGCCCTGCGGATGTTCACACGTCGCCTAGATCCGGCCGAAGGGGGGGGGAACAGGGGCGCCCCGCGGCTGTCCCCGGGTGAAGAGCGCCTGTTCGTGGAAATGGTGCCCTCCTTGAGGCTAGTGGCCATGGGCAAGAGGTCTGTCGGCGGGCCAGGAGAAGACGATGGTGACATAGGAGGAAGAATCGAAGAGGTCAGTGACATGGCGAAGGTTTTTGGTTTCGCGTTGGGGTGCAGTTGGTGAGTGGCACTTTCCCCTCGGCATTTTTATTTGGACTTTCGAACACAGTACTACTGTGGCGTGCGTCTATCCAATTCGGTGGGGTGAGCACTCTGTATTCGCGTATATACTCACGACGGATAATAGCGATAACGTGTACACTTGTGGCTTTCCTTGCCCGCTTTGTCACGTCGTGATTGATATTCCTAATTTTTTCGACGTTGGAACTGCTTATGATTTGTCAATTCATCAAATCAGGTCATGGGGCCGTCTTCTCACCCGGAAGGAGGAGGAGGACCCGATGCTATGGACCAAGATAGTGACCTAGACGGCATTAAGGAGACCGCCGTCAACCGTCAGACGGCGCTGCTGAGCCTGGACGTGCTTGCCCGCGTGCTTGGAAGGCGGCACCAAGGAGCGTTTGAGGGCGTCCTCGGTGACGCGACTGAGATCGTGGCTGGGGTGGGGCCTGGCGCTCTGCCTGGTGAGCTTAATTAATTAGTATAGTCGCCTACAAGTCTGCGTTCTATTCGGCTTTTTTTTTCCGCAATCTCAGTCTATGTGTTTCTAGACACAGACGGTGAGACGTCTCTTGCTGTGATTCGAAAATACCACGAAAGGCTGGGTAACGAAACGCGTCAAGCACGACGTACGTGCACGATGTCGGACATACCCAATGTGTGTTTGGCCGATGCCGCGGTTTCAAACCCGTGCGCCCCATTTAAGACCTGCGGGCTCTACAACATGCACATCTCGTTCGCTCATGTCAGTTATTTTTTCTTCGCCTCCCCCCACTTTTGCATTCGTCGCTGCAATTTTTTATCTAGCCGTTGGCCAACCAGGCTCCGATGGGATCCTTCCTCTTCGCGCGAGCGCCTTTCTTCTGGTGGCTACACTATGCGCCGTCCTGGGCGTCCGGGCCTTCCCCCGCCTGCCGCGTTTCTTCCCCGCGATGCTCGAAGCCCTCGAGTTTCAGAGGCCCTCAACAGCGGCCGTCACGGAGGACGCTGCGGGCGTCGGAGGTCGCGGTGGGGGAAGAAGCCTTCTCTGGACGAGTGCCCTGTCGGCGGTGGCCACCGTCGCCGCTGGTCTACCGTCCTTCCTGAGCCCGTACCTCGGGAGAATCTTGGCTGTCGCCTTGCGGGCTGCCTCGGCTGGTGCTGGTGCAAGTCACGGTACTTCTGCCGCGGGTAGTAAGCTGGCTGCAGACCGAGTGCTGTCGCTGCTCGCGACGGGGGTCGAGGCGAGGTTGTTAGTTCCGGTGGTGTGCGGGGCTTACGCCGGCTGCGTGGAGAACGTCAAGGCGGGGGAGGAGGAGGGAGTGGGAGCCGCGGGGAGGTCGATAGCTCGGCTCTTGGCCTACGTCCAAGAGGTGAGCTAGTGCCCCATGATATACTTAAAGGGAGGCAAGAGTCGCTGGTGAGCGTGACACATGTTTCTTGTTCTGTCGATTTTAGCGTGTGCGGTGATGCACATTGGGAGATGTTTTCAGGACACGACACATTTCAGGGTATATTTTTTGAGCCTTCGCACGCGTACACGTGTGTGTTCTCGCGCTTGTTTAGATCGTGGCGGGGCTGGAGAAAGAGGCAGCGTCCGCGGCTCTACCACAGTTCACGCGCTTGTTGACCCAAGCGCTCGACTTCCGAAGACGGCACGCGTGTGGATCGACTCCCCAAGTTCGGGAAAGCGCCGCACTAGTTGAAACCGAGGCGTCCTCGGCCCTGGTTGGCCTGGTGATGAGGCTGAGCGAGGTGGAGCTGAGGCCACTGTTTTTGCACCTTTGCCAGTGGAAGGCCGGTGTTTCATCGGGAGAAGGCGACCTCAAGGCAACTCTGGGGGCGCTGGACCGACGGCTTTCGTTCTACCGAGTACTCGATGGCCTTGCCGGGGCGTTGAAGGTGGGGCATTATTAAGTGGTGTGCGTTTAAAGCCAGTGTGTCTCGCTCAACACTTCAGGATAGGGTCTCGATCAGGGGTCACCTCGAATGTACGCCCCCGAACTGTCTCGTGAGAATACTAGAGGGAAGGCATGCAGCACAAGGATTTATTTTACCCTGAACGGAATCAGAGATCGGTCTCCAGGGCTAAGTTTTTTACGTATTTTTTGTGCCGTGCACAATCCCCCGTTCCACCATTCTACAGAGTATTTTCACGCCGTATTTTTCACATGTCCTCACGGACTGTTGCGACGATATGGAAGCTGCCAGCCTCCTGACGAGTGTCGCAGCCAGCGGCTCTCCTGCTGCGAAGAAGCGAAAGCGCGCTAGGGAGGAAGCCTCCAGCAAGAGAAAGCGCCGCAAGACTCTGTCCTCAGGCGATGCATCAGATTCGGACGAACAGAGTGGCGAAGGCGACGGAGAGGAAGAGGATACTCCAGAGCTACGGTGGCGACGGTCGGCCGCGTCGCGCCTCGTTCTCTCGGCCCTCCGTCGCTGCTTCCAGTCGGACCGATCGGGCTTCGTCAACAAGGCCCGCTTCGAGCTGGTGCTGCCTGCCGTGGTGGCCCAGCTGGAATGCGGCTCTGATTTCTCCGCTGCCGCCACGGGAAGAGGGACGGAGGACGAAGTGTCGTCCTGTCGGCTTCACGCGGAAGAGTTGGTGGGGCCATGTTTGGCTCAGTTAGCGTCGGCGTCAGGCAAGGACGCGCTGTGGAAGGCCCTGGCGAACGCCGTGCTGATGAAAACGAGGTCGAGGAGGGCGGGCGTGAGGGTGGCGGCGTTGGTGTCGTTGCGGCAGTGCTTCGAGGTGGTCGGGGAGGAGTTTCTGGCCCTGCTGCCGGAGTGCTTGCCATTCCTGAGTGAGCTACTGGAGGTAAGAAAGCTTGACAGAAGTTGTCGGAAACGCAGATAGAAAGATGGTCCATAGTGTCATGAATTTAATTGTTCTCTTCGGTTTGGAAGGCAGCTTTGGATTCCCTTCTCCACTTTTTGCGTGGCCGCTTTGCTGGCAAGACTCGTGCTACAAATTGCATGAGCACCGATTTGCGCTTCACCACTTTGACGTCGATTGTTTCTTCTCGTTTACGCTGCTTTCCTCGCAGGACGGTCATCCGGAAGTGGAGAGCGAGTGCCGCGCTTTGGTGAAGTACATCGAAGGAGTCTTGGGGGAATCCGTCGAGAGCTACCTGGTTTAGATCTACGTATCTCTGGTGCTATCCGTTCGATGACCAGTATCCAATACAACGATCCAGCACAAGATAGCACGTGGAGGATTGACTTGGCTTGTGAGAGACGAGTAAAGCAAGCACGTCAGCGCTGGATCGGTGTGTTGTTTGTTCCGGAAATATTCGATGTACCACCATGTGTGACTTTTCTAGATATCATGAGGTCTTGTGTCGCGAAGTCTGTATATATGCAAATGTCCTACTTGTGGTGGTGTCGATCTGTACGTGTACATATACCCGTTGGAGGTTTGTTGGAAGCGGGTCAAATGTTGATGTTGGTGAGGAATCCGACATACACCCAATGATCAGCGATGTCTGTTGTGCTTAGGAAAGAGCGTTGGACTAAACCTGGTAGATGTTGGATATTATAATATCCATTGTCCCCGGCTCGTGCAGAAAAAGACACGCTCTGGAAGCTGCGCCACCAACTGCTAATCAGATTGTAAATGCGACGGCGTACGCATGCTTGGTGAACCTGGCATATTTCACTGGTGAGCCAGGCAACCCGGTCGAAGCCTATCGAAGAAGCACGACTAGAAGATGCTCGGCTGTTGTCGAGCACCGTGTGCCCCTCGGAGTCTTGGTTCGCTACTGGAGGCATAATTGTTGATGCGAGATGACGTTGAAGTACAAGATTTTAGTACACCGGTTTCATGGGCTTTTGATTTGAACCTTGAATCTTCAGTGCGTTGGACCCCGTCGAGGCACGTGTGAGGATGTGTGATATGCTGCAAGTAGTGGCCTTCGGTTTTGCACGACTAAGCAACGAGTGAGCCGTATCGGTACGGCTGACACCAGTCTGCCTCAACGCTGACATCGTAGACACCGCTTAGCAACCTGCCATCATGACCCAGCTGGGTTCGGTTCACCCCAGTCCGGTGTCAAAAGTTCTTGTGCAAAAATCATTCGTGCAGATGAAAAGGCTCGGGCTGACTCTCAAACTACCCTCCATCTTTTCACCCCGGCCCGAGCATCCTTCCACATCGCTGACCATCCCATAACGGCACCCGACCAGTACCCATCTTCCTGCAGGCCATGACGGGCCCGTCCTTTCTGTGAACGACTCTCCACTCTGTGTGAGATCTGTCCGGTGAGGAACATGGTGCGGGGGATGAGTTGTGTGCGCATGAGGTCCGGTGAGGAACACGGTACCAGGAAATATACCGGCGGGCTTAGGTCCGGCACGAGTTAATACCTGGGTGAGCCAGGTGAACACCTCGATATTGCTGTCGAAGTGTTTCGTGAAGTATTCGAAACAAGGATCCAAATCCAACATGTTCGGTGTTGGCAGCTGAAGCACAAGTGCGCAGCACGCCTACCTGTTGAACTCGTCATCTATCTCCATTCTTGATGCCGAGGCAGCCGAACATTATTTCACAGCAGTACAAGCTTCGCAGTCAACGACAGCTTGTTTGGCACGCTCTTAGCATGGCGATCAACTCGAGCGTTGTGAGAAAAAAAAAACACGGGACTTGCAGGTTCGTGGACAGCCGGTGGCAAATCTGCACACACCGTAGGCATACGTGCATACTGTCTCCTCTCCGCGGCACGGCATAGGAGGCATTTTGAAAGCTAGGGTGGTCAAGGCGGTCAGTAGTACTATTGTCCGAAATATTGTGTCGATGAATGCAGTCGAAAGGTGTTGGTGTATGAAATTTTGAATCACTTCTTCAGCGTACAACAAAATTCCGTCTGTGGCACACAAGCGGGTAACACTGCCGCCGTCCTTTTCCACGTACAGTCGACCGGACGAACTAGTGTAGGCGCCATCCGCAACTGACCGTCATGAATTTTTGTTGGCGGGGGGATGGTGATGAAAATAGTGTCTAGTACCTGGGTTTCATTCAGTTTTGTTGTTTCCACTAGGGAAAACCTCAAAACGCCAGGAAGCGGGGATGGCCCGAAAAAATCCCCCCCCCTCTTAAAGAGCTCTGATTGGGCTGAAAATGTAGCATGGGGTAAAGGAGGGTGGAGAGTTGCGAATCCGTCGTCAGATTTTCCAAATTGATCGATGGCACCGAGTTACAGCTATCCCAATACGCCAAAAAGGCGTGGTGGATGGAAGGCTACCATCCCCTCCCCTCGAAACCTCAAAAAGCCGGTTCTAAGAGCTATAAATCTCGGTACCGGGTAATTTCGGGGTGGGAATCACGAATCTTGAATCAGAATGGTCCACTTCGCTCTTGGTTTTGAGAAACAGGCGTGGGAAATTGACGTATTCCTGAAGGATTCAGCACAATCTCGTTTTCTTGAAATCGACCGGCGCACCTGAGTTTTTGTCTGATCAACTTTCTGAGTGGCTCTACCCCCCTCAAATCGGCCAAGCGGAATCGAATGCCGAGGTGAACAACGAAAACAAATATCGGCAACACGACGAAAAACAAAAACGAAAGCAGTCCCGAACCGATTTTTTTTGTTCAACTTCTAGACGCCGGTTTTGAGCGTTTGAAAGCGAGACGAAAAAACGATTTCTGAAAATTTCGTTTTTTCAGCTGGGGAGAGCCCATGACGATCAATTGCGGATCGCGCCTGTAACGAATCATGAAATTTCCTGCGGGTCCACGTACTTACCGTATTCTACACAAGATACCACACCCCGGTGATAACATTTTGGGCTTCAAAAATATTATCACCGGGTGTGGTATTGTGGGGGGGGTGTGGTATCTTGTGTACCCCGGTGATAAAGCCTAGCTCGCAGGAGCTCCTCAGGGGGTGTGATAAACCAGGGGGTGTGGTAGCACATGCGACCACCCACAGGGAGGGTTTGGGAGTGGGATAAAAAAGGGGGTGTGATAAAATGGGGTGTGATAACACGTCGGAACACCCAAAGAGTGTGTTCGGGTGTGTGATAAACAGGGGGTGTGCCGCTTGCGTAGAAGTCTGCTCGGGTTGAAAGAACGAGGTGATCTGTGGCGCCTGTGCTGCTGCGGTCGAAGCAGTCGTGGGAGAAGCAGATGTACTTGCGGCGGCATTCTGCTCTTCCCGCACGTTCATGTTCTCTGAGGTCTCCATGTCTCCACCCGTACGGTACAAGCTGTGCGTGTGTGATGCTGTTTCACCCCCGGTGATAGAGACAGGGAATGTATGCGGCGTAACCTGTGTTATCACCGGGGTGTGGTATCTTGTGTACCCCCGGTGATAAATCATGGTCTGAAAAATACACCCAAAATTACCACCGGGGTGTGGTATTGTGGGGGGGGTGTGGTATCTTATGAGGGTGTGGTATCTTGTGTAGAATAAGGTATTCATTTTAGGTAGTGGTTATGTAGTGGCCTCCACGAGAACCAGGGTGTGGTTTCCATAACCTCAACTCCAACGTATTACGCTCCCGTTGATAGTTGAATTTGAATTTTTACACAGCAGCTATCCAGCCAGGTAGACAACAGCAGGTAGGGTGGCTCAAGACTCGGTGATGGGCGATGGAGGCAGCAGCCTGCCATACAGAGTGGTGGAGGTAGAAAGAAGAAAGTACCGTGCGTGTGTGGCAGCCCGCTCCCTCACGCCAGGCGAAGTTGTCCTAGCGGAGCGGGCCGTGGCCTGCGTGGCGACGCCTGGCCGCCTGCTTTGCGACGACTGCCTCGCCCCCACCACTACCGATAACAGGCGAGGAACATGATTTTGGGGTATGAACGGGGGTTTTGACGCTGGCTCTTTTCCTATATTTTAATCCTGTACAAAGAAACAGAACAACTCCCGCCAGGGTTAGGTTAGGCATTCTATTGTCAGCAGTAGAGGACAACATGAAGAGGCGTCGTGCGTGCTGGCACGTTCAGGTTTGCAACTGGAGCGGAAATATCGAAGGTCGCAGCAGCCTCTGAAAACAGTCCGCAGTCTGCGCCGGAACCCAACGGCATCCAACATTTGTCACAGCCATGCTCACCGCCACGGACCGTAAACCTCTGAACGGGTGTCATCGGTAGCTAGTGGCCCTGCTGTAAACCCGTAGTTCAGGAGATTGGGGTCGGCGGCGGTGAGCATGGCTGTGACAAATGTTGGATGCCGCTTGGTTCCGGCGCAGACTGCGGACTGTTTTCAACGGCTGCTGCGGCCTTCGATATTTCCGCTCCAGGAACAAACCTGAACGTGCCAGCATGCACGACGCCTCTTCATGATGTCCTCTACTGCTAACAATAGAACGCCCAACCTAACCCTCGAAACTGACCTTATTTGAGCGCCTTCCGTTTGGGCTCTTTTGACTTGAATTTGAAAAGTGTGAATTTTTATCTTGATTTGAAAGGAGGCCTGTGGAGGTAGAAGCGTGAAATTATGTGTTGAGCAGCCTCTACTGCCGCCCTGTACGAGAATCATCGATTTCTGTTTTTCGCGATGCCTCCTGACTGGTCTTGTGTGTCTGCTGTACACTTTTTGGAGCTCTTGCGGCTGTTTTCAAATTTCGTCAACATCAAAACTGCTCTTCTTCCCCCCCTCAACCTTTGGGTCTAGCTCTTTATTTTTTTTGCGGCAAAAAAAAAGGGGGGGAGAGAGTGCGGGGAGAGAGACAGAAGTACAGCAAAAAGAGACGAGTGTACTTCTGTAGACGCAACAGCTATCTCCACCTATAGGCCATGAGGGCTGCCCGCGACAGGACGGTGGGCATAGACAGGGTCATCGAAGAGTTGATGCGTGGTCGCGGTGCGGCCGGTACAGATAGCGCCCGCTCTTAAGAACTTCGCAGTTAAGAAATTGAGACTCGCAAAAAATGAGAAGCTAAGAACTTGAGCACCATTTGTGAGCTCGGTTAAGAACCCCACACTAAAACCTATATTGCGGCCATTTGTAGCCCACAAGAGGATGGTCAGCAAAATAAGAACCCCAGCCTCGGCCGAAACTAGAGGTTCTTAAGTGCGGGCGCCATCTGTAGGGCAGGTGAGAGGCTTGTAGACCTCGAAAAGATCAGTCATCAAGCCGCCTAAACTACTGTATTTTCAATATATTTAAATGATCAGTAAGAGGACTTGTAGACCCATAGCTGGTTCTTGGACCTTGGTATATCCCGCTGGCACTAACTTAACGTCTTTTCACCGGTCACCGGGTAGCGCTGTCGATACGAACAATAAACACACACCTACCTATTGGCTTGCCAACACCTGACGTGGAGGGATGCAGGGCGGCAACTCCATGGCATGCCACAACACCGGCACTTGCAAATAATCAATCAACCAATCAATGATCTGTCAGGACGCCTGTAGACCCAAAAGGGTTAACATGATCTGACCGCAATTCAACGTCATTGGGTAAAGACCATTATGTGGAGCGGATCCCATACGGTAGGAGTGCGGACCTGTACAACGAGCAACGACGCATTCGTCGTTGTACGGCGTGTGATGAACGAATGTATTGTGAACCAAATTTCACTCGTTCTATCTGGAGAGGCAACGAACGTGTGGGCTGACCGAGATTTGTCCCATTTTCGATGCATCCAATCCATGCGAACCAACGAATGCTCACCGGTGGACCAGTGAGGGAGCCAGCTGCCCAGAACCAACGTGTCGACGACCTCTGTTCCCGAACAACAAACTGTATAATGAAACACGCAGGGTGGGCGGCATCTTTCAATGCGTTGAGTGTCGATCAGTGTTCGGCGGCAGCAGCGGCACTGGCTTCAGCAGTGGCCCCGAATGTTCGAGGTCGGTCAACGACGTGCATGACGATATGCGGGTGTCATACTCAACCGTCCGGTTGTCCGCAAAGATTCTCTTTCGAAGATGTTCGGGCTCGTTTGGACTTGAGCAGGCCTCCAAGATAGACAGATTGATGCACAAACACGACGAGCAGCAGCTCCAGGCTGCAAGGGAGGAGGGATGCCGAAGTAGCAGCAGCAGCAGCAGCAGCAGCAGCAGCAGGCCCGAACAAAACGAAGAAGACTGCTTGCAGGTAAGCGAGAAGGGGGAGAGGGGACGAAAAATACCGCCAGATTGTTCGACGGGGGATTTCAAAGGAAGGCGTGTGGCTACAATGGGCTGCCGTTGACTCTCGATAAGTCCTACCTCACGGGGTACAAACCTACAGCTGTTGGTCTGTCTGGTGTTGAGACAGCAAATGGCTTTCCCAAGACGTGTCATCGCATTCCAGATATTCGAGGTCCTGCACTTTCTGGCGAGCGCCTCCCTCGCCGAACTTAGAGAGTTTTGTGCTCATTTTGGCGGGAGACGTGTTCTGGTCGTTGATGTATCGATACTATTTTCAGTGGCGGTAGAGCTGGGTAGCTAGTTGACAGTGGCGGCTCGCTCGTAGGAAGCCAAGTCATGTGGTTGTGGTGCTCAGCTTTTGGAGTCTCTTGAGGAGATCGCGGACAAGAAGCCATGATCGCTATTAGGTGGCTCAGCAAAACCTTGGGTTGTTTGCGCCAGTTCTCAACCTCGCCGTCGTGATGAACTCTGTTGAGTCTGATTAGAAAGAGGTGCTTCTTGGAGGAAGGGAGTGGCCGGCATCGCAGTCACCAAGGTGTCCTGGTGTGAAGTAATTTGTTGGTGATCTGGGACCCGCCCAGCCAACCATCCCTTCCTTTAGCCTACAGGTTTCGCCCATCTTACTTGCCCCCTCTTTTCGTTTAATCCTTTCTGTCATGGCAGGTGGCAAAGCTAGCCGCTGGTATGCTCGATCGTTGGGCTGGAGCGGGACACTTGATAGTGCCGGGCGAAAAGGCCGTTCCGAGTGCGGCTCTGTTGGACTTGGCTAGGAAAGAGGTAGGTAAACACGAGAGAAGCTCAAGCTGTTTGTGCACCCGATGCCTCGTGTGTCCCTACGAACACACCGGCTCTTGGGGTTGTTCTCGAGACCTGCTGCTCGTCTTTTGTGCATCCCTCTCGACGATCGTAATAGATTACCACGACATGTGGTGCCACGTCCCGACGTGCTTCCTGTCGTTTCAACTCTGCCACGGCCTCCCGCGTCTTCCTCTGTTCCTCTGCTTTTTGCTTCCTCGCTGATGCCCAAAGCGCGTGTCGTCGTCTGTCAATACCCCTTTATCTCTCACGTGTGGGTAAGCTCGGTCGAGTATCCTTGAACGGAATAACGACCTGCGACGGGACCGGCGCGACCGGGCTAGGGCTGTTCCCGTCTGGAGCGATGATAAACCACAGCTGCTCTCCCAATTGCCAGGCTTGGTGGAGAGGTTCCCAGGTGATACCTCTCGTCCCCTTCTTGTAGTAGCGGTAGCGATTCGACGGGAGACTGACTCACCGAGGTTCGGGTTCGAGAATCTGATCCTGCCTCGTCGGTGCTCCGAACAGACCAAGAAGCAACCGCGAAGGTCTTCGGACAGTGTGATGCGCACACACCGGTTGGCTGGAGGTAGTTTTTCTCGCAATTGCAACTCCTTCGGGTGTCGGTCACGATGGTTGTCCATTGGCTTGGATTGGCCCCACTCTACCGGAGTGTGGGGCACAGAAGCTGTATGTCTAGTCCAGCGATGTCCTCGACCTGACCGTTCGTAGAGCCGATGTGCCTCTACTTTCACAATGTGTGTATTTGTCTGCATCTCCCCAGGCCGACCCGTGGCGTGACTGACCCCGATCAACCTGGAGAACATTCTTACTTTTTGACCCAGGGCCACCAACGCCGTTCTCTACTTGATGATGCCCCTCGTTTTCGTCTGGTCCTGACTTCTTCTTGACCCCATCCTCGCCCACAACAGCTAGAGATTCGATGCACCAAGCCGGTCGCGGCGGGAGAAGAGCTATGCTTGAGCTACATCCCCATCGACCAGCCTTCAACTCTCCGACGAGCGCAACTCAGGTGTCGTCAGCAACGCATCGAAGAAGTATACCTAGAGCCGCCTGACACTCAAAGCGGCGCTACTAGAGCCCGACTTGTCTGTTTCTGGCGGCACAACTAACCATCCAAGCATCCCGATGGAGAAAGAAACGAACACCTGGCTTTCGCGTTGGAGTAGTGAACTTCTTGATGCTTAGAATGTTTTTTTGCAAAACACAAAGACAGCATGGCAGACGGCGCGTCGTGTTTAGTGAGCACCTGCGCACGGCGAAAGGACAGTGGCAATCGAAATCACACCCTCGTTCGTGATGCTTGCTCCGTGCGACCCTTCCGTGCGGCGACGTTCGTACTGCGTGTCAAAACCTCGTCTGCCCGGGCAGACACAGTTGGTTTTTCGCGTGCCGATGCCGGAGGTGTGTTTCGAGGCAGTGGGATGCCGAGCTGGTAGGGCTGCGCTGCCCTACGAAAGGGTGTGCTGGCGCTGTGCCTCCCCCTCCGTGGCGCAGTGGTGAGGATGAGGGTAGCTTTACTTTACCTCTTTTATCTCCGCCCGTAAACTCAATACGGCTCTTGTTTGCCTCCTGCATCATTCGGAGCGGTTCAGTTACATAGTACGCATGTCATAACGTTGTTTTGAATGAAATGTTGCAAAGCTGTTGACCGAACATGGACATTTTTTCGCATCATTCACGGGGGGTAGTTGGTGGTGGATTTGTATGGTCGACGATCCCTGTCACTCCGAGCTTGTCAAAGTCCTTCTTGTTCATCCCGCAAGTTTTCCCGTGGTTTTGTCAACACTCTTCCGCGCGCAGGTCACGCGTGCAGCCGCTGTGGCACATCCCGTGCCTTTAACGAGCCATCTACACGACCTGCGCCGCCAGATGAAGGCCGCAAGGAGTCCCGCGGAGCTTCGGTCGTCGCGATGGACCCACCGTCGTGCTGTGGGCGTGGGACAATAAGTCCAACCCCACCGGGAGAAGGGGAAAACCTTGATGTTGAAGAAGGCATGGCGTGGTCTACCTGTGCAACACGAGGAGCACAAGAGATGATAGTAGTGCCAGCGCCCGACTACAGGGGCTGCGAAGAAAGGCTACTGGGAGCGGCAAGGGACTTTCGAAAGGGCATGGAGGCCTACATGCAAGAAGAGCCAGACGTGGGTGAAAGTTGCGACTTGCTCGAGCAGCCAGATACCCCCCCCTCCCGTGCATTCTTGAAGGGACAGCTTTTTTCGCCTACAAGCCTTTCGTGCGAAATGCATGCTAGTTGGAAAACACACGTGGCGGTTGTTTCGATAGTATTCCCGGGGAAGGCAAGCAGGGGACTATTGCATGTCAGTTTGGCGCATAGATTCACGGCATTCTTTTGCTTGGGGCCAATAGCTTCCATGGAGCAAGATGGAGACCGCTGGAATTCCGTTCCTCTCCTGGGTTCTTCTCCCTTACTATTCTTCCGCTTCGATGCGCTGGTTTAAAATCTCAACCAAACTAGGTTGCTCTCGTGGCGCTGCAGAAAAGCTTGCTTGTTCGGGAGAGTCTCTTGCACCCATTCAACAAGGAACTGCTGCGCACACTGCGGTGAGCTGCTGGGTGGTTTTCTCACCTTAAGTTCGCATGTTCAGCTAGAACCCTTTGGTGTGTAACGTCATCTGTGCTGAGGAAACGCGATCGCAATCGAGTGGTAGACGCGGAATGCACCAGGCAGTACACGCGCAATGCACTGCTTGTCACTTCATGTGTGAGGAACATGCTCTTGTTAGCGTCTTGTCACGCCCGGCGTACAGTAGGAGTGAACGAAGGTCTGATCGCCCCACACGTCCTCAGTACCACACTGGACCAAACAGCAGCGAAGGAGGCTAAACGAACCCAAAACGTTCCTCGAAAGGGTGGATGTTCTCTTGGTGATGAGACAAGAAACCGTTCCGCAACCATTGATTTACACGCATGTGCTTCGGGGCACTTTGGCATTCGTTTGCTATACAAATACCATCGTTAGGTACGCGAGTTACGCGGCGATCGCAACGCAAAGCTGGTTCAAGGCTTACTCATTTCTGAGTCGTTGGCTGCACCCGATGGACGTGATGTACGGTGCTGCGGAGGTGAGCAGACGTTCAGAGTGGCCTTCAGCAATTGTGAGAGTTCTCCGCGTTGACTGAAAATGCATGTTCCAATCGAGAAAGTGTTCTTCCGGATACTTAATTTTTTCTTCCGTACCTGCCAATAATGACCAAATAAAACATCTTCGCACTGCAGTGATGCCATGCGCGCGTGATTGGGGACGTCTGCGGCTTGTCTGTTTCGAGGGAAGCCTCGGAACCGCCCACGATGCATTGAAACATGGACGGCTATTGGAGCAAATAAATTCCTACGCCCTTCGCTTCTGCTCACTGCCCGCCTCGCTCTTCACCCGACAACAACAAGTAGGTGTGGGATATAGCCGCCATGCGCGTTGATGCCGGTCTGGTTTTAGACAAGCTAAGCGAGGTGACACGTGGTCCGGGAACGGTCCCGCCGCAGGTGGGAGAGGCTCTACCGGGACTTAACAAGCTTTCGGGACAACCAGATACGGCCGGTAGCATGGATCCAGCCGCTTTCGGCGAGATGGCAACAGGGCTGCGGTGGATTTGGCTCTGTCTAGGAAGGGGCAGCGGTATTTCGGCTGAAATCGCCGCTCTCGAATCCTTTGCTGCCCACGGCGTAACGTTTCATGTCAACGGCGAAAACGGTCTTTCATAAACCGAAGGATGGTTCGCAGCAGGGACGGGTTCGGCCCGAACGTCCGCTCCTTTTCCGAGAGGAAGCTACTGCAAATAATCTGTTTTAGTCCGTCCGTGTGATAGCGAGGTGTGTCTGTCGGCGTACACGAATGCCTTGCAGTTCCTGAAACACTCGCATCCGCCAAGCTCGCTGATCGGAAAAATGCGCAAGCAAAGGGACGCCCGACCTTGACGTTGGGAGCTACTTCGGGGTTATTCATCCCCTCCTATTCATATTTTTGTTGAGTTCTCGCGCAAGCGTCCTTCTCAACAAGAGCGAGTTCGTCACGACGGCCACCGAGCTACAGCTCATGATCGCGGATGCAAGTGCTGGCGACAGCATGACGCCCCAACCAGGAAGAAAGGCGCCGGCCGCTAGCGGTATCGCCAAGACGTTGTACCCCAGCGACCATGCGAGGTTCTCGCGGACCTGTTGATGACACGAAACCGCACGTTGCACAGGAAACCAATGGAAATTGTGGAGAAGGATTCATCATCACGTGTAGTTTGCTCTCAAGCGACTACGGTACAATATATCGACCAAGAATGATTACAAAACCGCGGTGCAGCTGGTTACGGCAAGAACGGTAGGCACCTGCCTGTCTCATAGGCTCTCAACATGACCAGTAAAAACCGAGAGTATGAGCGACAGCAACCGCAGTTGTGTTCGCCCCTCCCTTACCCGTCAATGAGGAATGCCTCTCTGGACTACAATGGTATGGAGAAGGTGACAGGCAGCACTGCTGAATATCCGCATCAAGTGTGAGACATCCCTCAACTTTCCGTCGCTACATGCACACCACCGAATTCCCACTCGGACAGAGAATCACTATGCAGCACCTTCCGCATAGTCAGCTGGCTGACATCGATCGCGGCTCCCGCGCCGCAAACATCGTCGCGCATGAGCACGATATCGGCGGTTTCCATCGCCTGCCCCGTCCCGGCCCGCAGCGCGACACCAACATCCGCCGAGGCCAGAGCCGGAGAGTCGTTAACGCCGTCGCCGACAAGCATGACCACCTCACCCCGAGCCTGCAAAGATTTCACCAGGGCCACCTTATCCGCTGCAACAATACGCGTAAAGTAATGTTCCGGTTCGTGGTTTGTTTGTATATGGACGCGCAGGCGGGCAGCAAGGCGGGGAGTGGTGATGCGGGCGGAGGAAATTAAGAACCAACGCGGTGGGGTCGGGGTTGTGGTTTGATCGTTTCGTTTGGGGGACTCATGCTCAGCTAGAGAGGAGCAACAGCTCGGGAGCCTACTATGGGGTAACTTTCAACATACCATAACACCTACAAAACGCGGAAACGCCTCTACCAATTCAAATAGCAACCGAGTGACGACGGACTACTGCAGCAGCCACTACCGATACAACCCATCTGCCAAGACACGTGTAGGCAACGCCGTACTCCTTCATCTCCCGGAGTTAAGCAACGAAACACCAACGGCCTTGACCAGCGGTCCTTGCAAAATCAACAGCACCTCATCCCAACACGCCCATCAACGTCAGCGACACGCCCCGGCTTTCACCTGGAGTCGCCCCCCAGCTTGCCGCCTCCTGCGGTACCCCAGCCGCCGCGGCCGCCGCCCACACGGCCTCCCGTCGGTCGCCACTCGCTATCCTCACGCTGAGACCCCGCTCAGAGAGGGAAGCCACAGCATCGGAGGCGGCCGGACGGATGGAATCCGCTGCAAACAGCAGGCCGACGGGTCGGCCGTTCACAGCGACCACCACCACCGTGTTTTGTCCGTCTGCCAGGCGCTGCGAAACCTCGTGCTGGTCGATTTGGGAGCGAGGGGGGAACACAGGGGTTGGGTGCAAAGGGGAGTGCAGTCGTTACGTGGAGAAGAAGAGCAAGGAGCGGCAGAGGGTCCCTGTTGTGTGGTTGCTGTGTGAAGAAACCAAAAGTCCGATGTACCGTAAGTTGCAGAAGATATCACACCCCCTGGACCGATTTTCAAAGCTCGATTTCTCCACGACGAAGAGCATGCCGAAATCAACGGATGTCTTTTCGGAAAGCTCTTGAAGAGGCGGTTTGAACGCCGCGACTTTCGGCATCATCACTTCTTGTCCTGCCGAGAAATCGAGCTTCGAAAATCGGTCCAGGGGGGGTGATATCCTATGCAACCTACGGTATACTGTCTTCGTGTGGTCAGCGTCGTCATCGTCGGAAGAAGCTGGCTTGATGCGAGGAAGCTCTCTTCACGATGGAAAGGAAGAATGCTGGACGCCTTCGAGACAATGCATGTGCTTCGAACTGCACGAGTGTTGGCGGGCGCCTCACGGAATCGAGTCGAATCGAGTCGATTTAGTCGAAGGCGTGAAAATAGTGGACAGCACTACACATGGATGCGAAGGCACAAGTTTCGGAGGGACTCCACCGTGGGAGACGCCAGCCACTGCGTCGTATCGTGTCTCCCCACATCTATCTTGCATGTCACAAAAAAACGCTCACCAAAAGATCAGCGCTCGACTCCTTGCGGTCGCTTTCGGGCTCCCCAACAACACCGACGCCAACACCGACATCAGCATCAGCAGCACCACCAGCACCACCACCAGCTTCGGTGTCGTCGTCAGACAGAAGCCGTCGAACGACAGGATCAAGCCTAGAGGAGGCATCGCCGGGCGAATTGGTGAAGAACCCGGCCTCCCTCATGTACCTGGGACTGCCCACATGGACAGCGCTTGCTCTGTCGTCGCCCCCGCCGCCAAGCTTCACCTTAGGACCGAGAAGGGGGAATTAACAACCACCAATGTGCGCTTTTGGTTGATCCAAACCCAAACTCGTCTCACACAGTTAATATGTGCACTACACAGTTTTCGGTGCAGTCGACGTAGTGCACATGCGCGTACATCTATGCAGGGGTGGGTGTTCGTTGGTTTGGCGTCGCGTGGTGTGTTCGAGGTTTGGTCCAACCAAGCGCGGTCGGCGGAATGACCACAACCAACTGCCCGTATTCGCCAAATGTGCCTCGTTTACCTGGGTGCATTTGCGCTGACACAACAACGTTTCGGTGGGAGTTACATGAAAGTCGCACGCAGAGGTAGTACCCACCCGTGCGCTAGCACCCATGCCGGGCACGGTCCGAAGATCCTCCGCTTCTGGGTGAGATGCTTCCCCGAGCGTCTCCTTTCGCGCAGCCAGTACCACGGCCTCTGCCAGGGGATGCCGGCAGCCTCTCTCTACCACCGCCGCCACCTCCAGGATCTGCCCGTGTCAAGACGGGACAAAAGGATGAGGGCCGCAAAAGGGAACCTATAATTTCGCTGCCCTTCCGCCTTAGCTTACTACCCTGCTCGATCACCCGCACATTATCGTCATCGTATCTCAACGGGACACCGTCCGTTCCCTGCAAGCTGCATCATTTGTGGCTAACCAGCGAGAGAGTGAACTCGTTCGGAATCCAGTGCACGGTATCTCATGGTGTCGACCGGTTCGGTGCTTACCCAAAACAGCATGTGGAAGTTCACCAGCCGAACGCGACCACACCAAGACCACACAATATCATATCATTCAAAATCTTACCCTCCCTTTATCCCATTCCGGGTCCAGACTAACCACACCGGTGATGGAAGGCCTTCCGAGAGTGAGCGTGCCCGTCTTGTCGAACACCACAGTGGTCACCTTCTCAGCACGACCGACGCCAACATGAGCGAAAGTCAGCCGCCAAAAACAGGCGAAACTACCGCCGCATAGCATACGACCCAACACAACACACCCACATCAGATATGCAATACCCTCACAAACAATTACCACACCTACGGGTAATAGACATAGAACATTACACCGCATTACACCTGCTCTCAGATCAAGGAATAGGTCGACATAAGATACCATACCCACCCACAACACACACCCACCGGGTGGTTTCTTTTCGTAATCCTAAACGCCATCACCGGGGGGTGTTTTCTTCCTTGTGTCGTGCATACGGTATGTACAAATACGAGTACGACGCCCCTCAACCTTCGCACTCAGCTAGGAGCGTTGAACCCGTCCGACGGGAAGAATTAACACAATAACCTTCAAACTGGATGCTCTCGGACTGTCAAGGTTTGCCATACGCATATTGTACAACACACCCGCGATACACCCGAGGTACACTGAATAGTACAATCCAAGAGTTGAAGAGGTAATAGCGGGCTGTCGTGCACGAACGCGGGCTTCCCAAAACAAACACGAACTTTAGTTCATAACCTTGATCGGCCATAGGCGAGTGAGAGGGTCGAACCAGTCTGCGCTACGCTACCGCACCGCACCGAAGCTCGGAGTGAAATAAGACCATTCAAGAACTTACCTTCCTCGCTGTCTCTAAGACGTCTGCTCCTTTGAGAAGAAGTCCGCGTTCTGCGGCCACGCCGGTCCCCACCTGGGGTGTTGACATGAAAGACCCTTTTAGAGCACACCACCAAAGACGAAATCAACGGCATGCACTACGCAATCGGTGTGTACTGAGCGAAAACCGCAAGGGGCTCACGAAGGCGATATTTTAGCTGTTGCAACGTTTGCGTGCAGATGATTCCCAGGAAGTTTGCTGCAACTGTCGATCGATGCCATTCTCTCGCAAGATGCGTGTGCCCCTTGGTTGCGTGGACGCAATGGTACAGATGAACTGAAACGCTAGGACGAAACCAACATTGGGATAGACCTCATGCTCGTCCAGACAAACATCCAGACGAAGCGGGTACACACAACAGTATGGACCCCCGGTATGTTTTGCACCCCTGTGCAAAAAAGCACATGTTTGAGGTACGTATACAATGCTCGTGTATAGACTCACACACCCCATCGCCATATTCGAAGCTGTCTAAAACCCACCTCTCCCATACCCCTTGCTTACCATGATCGCCGTAGGCGTCGCCAAGCCCAAACTGCAAGGGCATGCCACGAGGCAAACGTCTACCGCTAGGCGCAACCCAAGGCTCCATGGGGAGCCCCCTGCGAGAGCCTCAGCAAGAGCCGGATACGACGGTGTTGCCGTAGATGCCGCCGCCGCTGACCCTGCTCCAAGGCCCAAGAGGGACGGAGACAAGGCAGCCCAGAAGACGAGAGTCGATGCCGATGCGGCGAAGACGACCCACGTGAATTTCCCGGCGATCCTGTCCGCGAGCTGCTGCACGGGGATCTTGCGGGCCTGTATCATGATGATGGTGGTTCGTCGTTTGGTCCTCGTCACCATCAGTATGGTTGCCACGGTCATTATGTCTCGTGAGCGGAAGTTTGATGGAGGGCTCGTTTCGAGGGGAAGGAAGGACACGGGAGATTTGTGCGCTTGACAGAACCAGATGCAGGGCGGGTACGCCTGAATGTACAGGACACGCCACAAACCGATACCCTCAAGGATAACAGCAGTCGTCTCTGAAAAACGCTGTGGACAAACGGAACAGATTGGTTTACAGCCGTCCGAAATACAGCCCACCCAAATCCCATCAATTCACCTCAACTCACCTCACGAACGACGCACAAACGCCCGCACCAACAGCAAGCTAGCACAGCCACCCAAACGACAGCCCACAACCCACAACGCACCTGGGCATCCTCGACGAGGGCGATTACCGAAGCAAGCACGCTCTGCATTCCGGTAGCCGTGGCCCTAACCCTTACGGCACCGCCGTCACCCGTGCTCAGGGTTCCCGCCCTCACTGCGTCTCCCGGTCCCTTTGGAACGGGGATCGGCTCTCCTGTGGCCCATTTCACGCGAAGCAGCAGCCAAAACGACCTTTTTTGAATCTCTTTTGCAAAGTACAGTACAGTCTAGACCCCCAATGTTCGACGGAAACATGATCGAGAATGCGATGTGACCACCATCCTGCACACCAGAACAATTGAATATCAACGGCAGTGCGCGTTGAGTAAACCAAAAACAGAAGAAGAAAAACCTGACTAGGAACCAGAGATCGGACATCCACCTGTCAGGGACGACTCATCAGCCGCAGTCTGGCCTTCGAGAATCACGCCGTCCACCGAAAATCGATCGCTTGGGAGCACCTCTACCGTGTCACCTGTGAAAGGCGCAGCAAACACTGAAAACGGTTGGCAATTCTACTACAATATATGCACACCATAACATTGGCTGGTTAGATTAAGGTTGGTTGAGTAGTCACGAAACAAAACGGAGGGCGCTATCATGCCGTCTGCAGCGGTTTGTAAAGTACGTTTCAGTATTATCGTGGAGGGGTGGTTTGGGTCCAGGACGCAAAGAGTGGTCGAAACCGAAAATATTCTAGGGCAGAGTCAGAGAGTCGAACGCGGTGCGCCGGGTGATGGCACCGTGCACAGACACAGCAAGCCACTACTTTCAGTTCTACGAGATATGAGACACTATTCACGACGACGCAAGGGCTATCTTCAGTACAAGCGTGGATGCGCGTGGCGTAAACAGCAGGCAGGCCCCGGAGACTGTATCCCCTGCTGCAACATTCACGACCATCACGCCTCACCAACGCGTACCCTTGACGCTGGGATATCCTTCACCCTGCCGTCGGCGTCGACGGTTCGTGCCTGCCTCGCAGGGATAAGTTTATGGAGGCAAAATGGACGCAAGGCACAAACGAGTAGAAAGAGATGTGGTTGTGGTTAGCGAAGCTCAAAGGGAAAGACTTCGGCCTGCTGGAAAGCGGCACTTTTGCGGTTGGGAAGCTACGAGAAGAGGAGGGAGAGGACTGGGGGGGGAAAGGAAAATGTCTATCATGATGTCACGTTCTCATCTCATCACGACTGCTGTCGTACCTAGGTCATGGTACGTGGTGGTATTGCGCGATCCGGACACTAACACGAACACGAACACGAACACGAACACGATTCAACGACTTCTCCCTTGCTCGGTTCGGAATCGAAAACAACTAGGTGACGACGGAAAACGACGCAAACTTCGACCGCAAGGACGCAATTTCAACAATCACTGGCGTTTAAAGTACGTTCGACCCGAAGTTGCTCGTGAGGGGGGGGAGAGAGGAGCCAGCCATCCTACCGGACCTCGTGTCCTGAGGTTCAACATTTTACTCTCGTTGGTATCTGAATGATATTAAGGTTCCTACCAATGGCGTTCGTTGGCTATTCAACCACTTGGGTGACGCGTGGTCTTTCTTTACTTTGTCCTACCCACCTTGTCGGGCCTGATGTCGAAGAGACTCTGCAGCCCCCTCGCGGCTTTTAGCCGCTGCCTGGCTTCCAAGCTCCTGCCCAGAAGAATAGCTCCAAGCAACATCACCTAAGAAAACCCAAAGCGCGACAAAGTTGTACGGATCCAAAAAGACTTCGGGAACGAAATAAATATCTCTCGAAAAATGCTATTGTTATACAGGTAGCAGGTGACCAGCATTCTACATGCGTCTGTCGCTTCTGTACTAGGGCAACCAGACGAGGACGATCCTCACAAGCGGTCACTAGCTTACACCAAAGACTAGGAGAATAGGATGTGTGAGGTCCCGGAGTAACAGAATACTTGAAACAGTCCAAAACCAGGAGATACATTAAACGAACAGCACGGACCATGTGGTCGAGGGAAATCATGGAGATAGATGTATTATCTGCACCACTCCAACGTGGCCACAGTGTGCCCCCGAAACTCTCCCCATTTCGACTATTTAGGCTTTGTCTCAACGGTTGCAGACCGGTTCGTGGAAGGTCGTCGTTAGCCCGAGAGATGGCTTCAGCAACGAGACCAGTGAAGAAAGGTACACCGCTAGTACTCCCGTCGACACCAGGGAGTTCATGTCCGGTGACAGCCTTCGCAGCGATGCCAGTCCCGACTTGATAAGATTCGATCCTGTTACGACAGCCGATCAGCGGGATGGTGTGGTGAAGGGACGACGGGTGGACTGGTATTTGCGTGACCTGAAGACGCAAGGGTTCTTGCAATTCCTTCCAGCCAAACACACGACAATCCTGCGCGAAAACAGAGGAGAATCAAATCGCACGGTACAACAACATCTCAATAAGCCTGGGCACTTCCGCAAGTCTTCTTGCCATGGTTTGCCCTCCAGGGCCAAATGCGATTGAAAGGATGTAATCAGCCTCAAAAAGACGCCCTTAGTCTTGCAAACAACAACCCACTGCTACACCATTTCAATGCTTCACCTCCGGGCCAACAAATGGAAATACCACAACTAGCAGCCCAGTGAGTATTTTGTTCGGCTGGTCGTTGTTCTGTTACCGAAGCGACAGCCCGTCCCCAACAAGTACGCAAGGTGCAAGTATGCGTGCCCACGTCCTACCCGGTCCAACCAACGCTGCGGTGGCAACCCCGGCCTGAAGCCAATCGAACCACCCCGCTGGCAACATAGAGAATAACGGGGCATGCCCCAGTGGAAGCAGGTGATGAGCGTGATGTCCGAGGTGCGTCGTAGCAGAGACTGCAAGGAGAAGGACGCTTAGTTGGACACGCCGTCGGGATTCCGCTGCTTCCCGCTCGTGGCGCTGTGCAGGTGTGATGGCTTCCCTGTCGTGGCAGAGAAGGCGGGGGGAAGGCGCATACTGCATAGCGGCAACGAGGGAGATGTATGCAAAGGACAAAATAGGGTAAAACTACTGATGGTGGGCTCCGGGCTGGATACTGTCGCATCCACAAACCGCTGCCGGTATGGGACGATCTTGTGCACAACATGGGATCAAAGAGAGATGAGAGATGTGTGATGAGAGATCGAAAAAAACAAGACGAGGAAAGAGAGGAGGCTGTCATGAGGAAGTTCACTGCATGAGATTTTTTCCGACGCATACGGAAGGGCGGAGACAAAAACTAGATATGACGGACGTTGATTCAATTTTCGCATACCATCACCATCTGTTGGAACAAGAGCAACAAAAAAACTGGACAGAAATTACTCATTTTCGTATTTCGGACAAACGCGGTTGTTACGGCAATCAGGGCCAGGCCGCACCTCTCTTCCTCGCTCGATACGCTTTGCTGGTTCCAAGTTTCCAGGTCCGAGATGATCCGCACGACTTCGGAGGCATATCCTACTGAAGCGAGGGCTGCTACGAGATCCGCTGGAGTGGCGACGGGGGCTCCTCGTCCATCTGTAAGGTGCAACATAAATGAAGTGACGACGTGAAAAACCTCGAGTTGTTCTTCGAAAACTTCCGAGTGACTATAAAAGCCATTGGAGTCACGTCTGACCTCCAACAAGGCCACGTGCCACTGCTAATGGCCTTATTCAGAAAGTAGTGCTGGCGCACATGATCATTGTGTTCGAAACGACAGTACTAGACTGGACTGCAACATACTCTCACCGGATAGTGAAACAGTGGCGGTGCCTGTTGCTAGATTGATGGTGGCCTCTCCCACGCCTGGCAACCGCTTCAAAGCCGCCTCTCCCCTCGACACACACCCTCCGCACTGCAACCGGCAGAACATTGGAGTAGGGTTCGTTATAATGGCAACATTAGGCACTTGTAGGTGTCGTACTTTGTCCTTGATCTGTTGGGTGACAGGGGTGATGAACACTCCAGAGATTTGAACGGGACTCACGACGGAGTATCGGATCAAGCCGAAGGCGATGTGAAATCGTCCCAGACACTCCAAACCCGCATGAACACTGTATGGACAAAGTTGTAGGAAGATCGATGGGCCGTGCCGTACACCACGGAACACCACGCCACACCGTGGCACGGCATGGGACACCATGGGACACCACGGCACAACCGTGGCACGGCATGGAACATCGTAGGACGCCATGGGACACCACGGGACATCATGGCACATCGTGACGGCACACCCAAGGGACGCCATGGGAACCGTAGGACGCCACCCACCGCAAACCATGGCACACTGGAAACACGTCGAATACACTACAACACGTGAAGAATGATGGTGTACATCACCTGGCGTGCACACTGCAAGGCGTGATGCACAGAAATAAAAAAACATGAGGTTGGCCGTTGGCAGGCAGGCCCTAACTCGCCAAGACTGGGGAGGTTCACTAGACAGACGCATTTATACGGGGAAGCCAACTTGCTTGCGTTCAACACGAAGGTCTCGCCGGTAATCAAGCACAAATCGGCCTTCTTTGGCATCGATCCCCTCGAGAGATATATCCCGAACACCAAACGGAGTTGGATGTTTAACAACCGTGTGGGCAATGGTCAACGTCCAGCAGCAGCACCATACCTTGAGCCCTTGCACATCGATCACGACTCGGGCATTCCTCGCTGAACTTCCACCTGCGCTCCCTCCTCCCCTGAGCGAAAAAAAGCGGCGCTGGTCTGGAAGCGACACCCCGATCCCCCCAGCTTGCTGGAGCAACCGATAGGGCAACTCTTTTGACGTGGGCAGGGAGTAAGAGTCAGCCCTACTCAACCGCTGTACGTGTAGTCTTCCCGCACATTGCCGTACCGCGTGGCGATGCGGTCTGCTTGCAACAAGCAAAGACGTCCACAGGTCACGAGGTCTAACGAGCTGCATTCTGTACAGGTACTCCTGCGGGGATCGTGACTCAAGCAGTGGTGTGATTTGACGGTGAAAACGCGAGAAGAGGGCGACCGAGCCCTCGCAAATGCCCCAGGGACACGACACACGACAAATGAACACATGACACATGACACATTCGAGATATTCGAGATTAGATGGGAACCGAGAGTCTCGAGACTGTTATTCTGTCGTCCAATCAGAGTCAAGGGAACAAAAAAAACGGCCAGTCACGAATGTCTCAGGTTCCTTCACCCTGTTCCTTGTTCCGCTGTTCCTCTGTTGCCTGCCCAAGTGCGCTTCGCGCCCTCTCGTGGAGTATGTACAATGGCTGCTACCACCGTGATTCGGGTTCGTCAGCATGCCCGTCGCGATGACCTTGATGGCGAGGTCACGCTACCGTGCATCCTAGACCGTCTCTCAAGGCTTGAACATGAAAGTTTTTCATACCACGAGCTCCTCGACGACTTCGCCGGCCGAAGGCGCGTGGGCCCCGTGAAGAAGGAACTGCCGGCGAAGCACGTGCTCGACCCCGCTGAAGAGGCAGACAAGATCGTACAGGTTACAAAATTGCACAGTGCATTCATTTACTTGAGTCATGTATTCACAATACAGCTGTTGTCATGTACTTTTGTACTGCTGTTTACAGCGGTAGTTGCCGTACAACAACAGCAGTGTCGGAGATTTGTTGCTCAAAGCTGTAGACGGGTTTGATTTGAGTACAGCAATGTTACTACTGTATACACTTCCATGATTAACTACAAAGCAAATAATGTGCATTGTGGTACTCTCCAGGCATTCTTAGCGACCATCCTGTACTCGGTCCACCGCGTGCAAACAGGCATACTTATCCGTGAACCATGGAGCTTGTTCATCAAGGGCATTTGGCCGCATCGGCGCGCGTGCTCCCGTGGCACTGAGCGGCTCAGCTGCTGTCGACCGTCTCGGCAAGAGACCATACCCCAACACGAAGAGGACTCGAAATATCGGGACGTCTAGGGCAAAGCAAGAGGAGCTAGAGCACAAGCTCAACCGACTGAAAACTGTCGAGAAGAGCCGAGCGAATGGTGACGGAAAAAAACTTCAAACGTCACAAAATGACGGGTCACCACATACAAGCGGCAGGGTTGCCGTTCTGCTTGACGAGGGTACTGGGTTCGAAGGAGGAGGTGGAGGCAGCATAGGATTCGCACGAGGTGGGAGCAAGACAAAGCAGACTCCAGAGACCAGGCCGAGCCAAAGCCATGACACTCTGGGACGTCATGTCGAGGCACTCACTATAGCGGCATTGGCATCATCGTCGACACTACATGACCACGATGATGGTCAAAGATCGAGCTCTCGATCAAGTCTGCGGTGCTCGACGGAATCTCCGTGTGAACACGGTTCATTCGACTACTACCCGTCGCGCCCATTTTCAGCCGGCGCAGCAGTAGTAAGCCTCATCTCTCCTAGGACGTCAAAGAGAATTCGGCGCCTTCCTCGGCCGGAAGAAAGCCAACTTGAGGACCTTGAGGTAGATGCCCGCCCAAACCTGTTTCATCCAACTGTTACTATACTGGAGTTCGGCGGTGGTACACTCACGGTACATGGCGTAAGAAGAATGTTTGTGTCCATGTGAAATCGCAACTATCTTGTTGTATTCTTCATAATCGAAGGCTGACTGTCTTCCACCACGTTGCGGTTGTGTGATGTTTCGTACGCCCCCCGGCCGCCTTACTTCCGGGTGTCACGCGCTCCCATTACTGCCACAGCGCGTCGAACAAGCCACCAGAAACTTTTCGGCGCAGAAGCTCGACCGAAAAAAACCAGGTGGCCTGTACTCCACCATCGGCCGCAGACAAGTGGGCCTAATCGAAACTGACATAGACGATCTCACGGCAACGATCACAAGTCGAACGGAGGTACTCGCGGCCGCCAAACGCACGGCTGTGGCGAAAAGCCTTACCGAACACAGCAACGGTGTCCTGGCCGGACTTTTGAGACCGCACAAAACGACAACCCTTCCCACGATTAGCCCGTCTTGTTTTCATGACCCGTTGGGCTCTAGCTCGCCCATGACGGGTTCTCCGAAACGTTCTTCTTTCGGCCGTAGCACAACCAAGATCAGACGCTCGAATGGGCGAGGCCCGAGTGAACCGGCAGCAGCAGCAACAACAGCAGGAGCATCGGCAGAAGAAAGTGAAGAGGGTCTAGAAATGAGCGAACGCATGAAGGTCATCGGGGTAGACGAGTCCAAGCATCGCGAGGATCTCGTGGACAATCTGCGCCGGTTGCGTGCGCTTCTGGGCGAGCCGGAGGACAAAACTGAGGCTCGGCGATCCGGCAGCCCTTCCGTTCTCTCTGTTCGGGAGTTTCGCGAAATAGGAGCCGCGCAAAGACAGCGGCTGCAACATAGTACGAAAATGGAGGGTGCGGATGCGTTAGCTGTTGGTCGGGGAACACAACAGCAGGAAAGGGCGGCGGACGAACTGGGTGCAAAGGGGAATGTTCTTCTGCGGAACCTAGCCAAGACCTTGTTCTCGTCGATGCAATTCAGAGCCCGGAAGGAGTTCTTGCTTCTAGCCTTTCGTAAATGGAAGGTGAGAAACGACGTGCCATGTCATTTGATCCGACGCACAAGGCTACCAGGTTAGTGGGCTTGCGTCGTTGTAGTTGTGAAAGAGAGAACACGCGATCTGCACAAACATCGGGTAATCTTGATGGGGTTGATAGTACGATCGGGACATTTACGTACAAGATAACGTTTGCCTTTTCTATCTTAATGCCTTCGGATTTCGGATTGTGGAAGGTGAGTAAACCATCAAACAATGTTGCATGTCTTGACTAAACTTTTCCATCATCCAACCAAATCCACCGCGCCGTCAAGACTGTGTCTGGGGAAAGCGTACTCGCGGGGTATCTGGGTGCGACAGTGCGTATTCAATGCTCTTTGCGGCGAACGGTAGCCATCACGGAAGCTGCGGAAAGACGAAGACTCAGAGACAACCAGGTGAGAGAAAACGCTCAGGTCCAGCCGAAATGAGGTTGTTGTTGTTGTGTGGCAAAAGACCCAGTATGCCACACGGGGAATGCCCCTACCCTATATGTATCGGACACGGTACAATACCAGTAGGAGATACGATGCAAAACGTTTCTGTGCGCTTCCAAACAACGCACAAAGCAGTGGTCTGCTGTGAGCACTTTCCCGTTGATTGTTGTTTCAAAAGCTGGCACACACTGGCCCGCCGCTACCTTGCGGCTGCGTCCCTTACACCAAACATTGGACAATACTCAACGATAAGAACTAAAAATGCTCATGTCAGGACCGACACGCCAAGCGTGTGGTGGAACGAGTTGTACAACGCAGACAAGCTACAGCGCTGACGTTGCAGAGGTGGATTCGTGGGGAGAGCGGTCGCCGACGAGCGCAACGGAGGCGGTGCCTGTTGGAGGCCACACGGATGGTGCAACGGGCTGTGAGGTAAGGGTTGCGATACGCGACTTCCGTAGCACGCCGCTCCAGTTCGTCACCGTTCATTTCGAACAAGTTTCGTCGTTCTGTCTCCAATGGGCAAACAGAAAGCTAACCGATTATCAATTGCCCTTATGTGGTACACCCGTGACTTTTTTTTTTTTACTTGTCCGAAGTCCAAGCAACTTCACCTTTTTCAATATCGGTCGCTGTGGTCTAGCCAATAGACGCCGCCTACAGCACTGTGCATAAGATGTCCATTGAAATGGAATGCTCGAGTCGCTCGTCTGTGACGGATAGTCCTGTAATTCTGAGGAATCTTTTCCGCCCACCTCACTACAATGCTATAATGTTCCACAGTGTTGACACAGAATAGCATGACACTCTCCGCCTCTGACAATCTGCGTTGTGCTTCACATATGTATGCTGAATCGGTAATTTCGCACGCTTGAAGGCAAAAGAGCGCTCGCGCTCGCGCCCGGAGATGGCGGAAGGAGCAAAGACGCGTAAGAGAAGCTGAAGAAGAAGAAGAGCAACGTGAAAGAGAGTTAATAGAAAAGCTTCGCGCGGAGGTTGCTGCCAAAGTGGAAGCCCAAGCTAGGCGGGAGGCTCTGTTTGAAAAAAGGTTACCACATTCAATTTCTGTACTACATACCCAATGGGTATGTCGGAAGCACCTACACAATCATTCAGTAGCTACTGTAGGTGGGAGAAATCCCCGTCTGCCGTACGTCAACCACCAACCCGCTCTACTTTTACCCTGGTAGGGTGGGGTGTACTTTAGAAGCGGTGTTGTTAATACGTGGATGGTATGTTTCGTTGGAGTATTATATCTCTGCTTCTTGATCCTCGATTTTCACGGTTAAAACGCTTTATGCCATGCGCTTCAGCGATGTATCCAGTAAATGAACGTGTCTTGTGATGTACGATCCTGTCGTAATACCAGCACTACGCTACAGCTGCAACTCTGTCTACATCGCGTTGTGTGAAGGTGTCGAGATCTCCAGGAGCGTTTTCGGAGAGAGGGGGCTGTGACCAGGATACAGGCCGTCTGGCGGTCGCGCGTGCTGAAACGTAACCTCAGCACCCTCGTACGGATAGGCAAGCGTACGCGAGCAATCCGAATTCAGCGCGCCGCGAGGGTCTACCTCGCCATGAAGGAGCTGCACAAGAGGAAGGAGGCATTCCTGATCAGGTCGGAGCTAGCATTGCTGAGTTCGTTTCACGACCTCGACAAGATTGGTAGGCGGAGCGGAAGGTTGGCCGCATCTGTATAAAGCATGTCATATTGAGAAGGAATGACCTGGATTACTGTTCTTGAAGGGAACATATGCTCGGGTTCAGTTGAAACCCGCCCGTGCAAGTCATTGTGCGGAGCTTCTGCTCGTCTGCGTTCCCAACTTCACATCAAAGATTGCTTGCGGTCTAGACCTTCGTTGTTATCTCGACTCGCCTATAGAGTGCTTTGTTTCAAACGGATTGGGATGTCAATAAACAAGTCGAACACATGGAGTGGACACTAAAGTCGGACACTGCCCCCCGCCCCCCCCCTGACGTTCACTCTGTTGTTTAATGGTGATGGTGATGATGCACGACGACGCTCCATTTTGCAAAGATACGCCGATGAAATAGCCTCCGCGATCAAAATTCAGAGTATCGTCAGGCGGAAGATCGCTTGGAACAGGGTGGACGAGAGGCGCTTCCAACGATCAAAGTGAGGAGGGAGGGAGTATTTGAGTCTTGAGATACATATAATGGTATGCACATGCGCCTAATCCAGGTCTTGGGAGTACAGTCTGAGAACATTGCTGATGGCTGCGATCCAAGGAAAGGAGTCCCTAAATGGAATTTCGTCCGCCCCAACATTTTCAATTCTCGAAGCATTGCACATGCTGCGAGGCGTACTCCGCCTCCTGGAAACACATCTTCTGGAATGCATGCAACATAACTAGCCAACAACTTTGCGCTCAAAACAAGGACGTTACTCCTCATGAAGACAGCGACTCGGTTTTCTCAGCTTGCAACCCTCCTTAAACCTACCATATCTACCAGAGAGCAGCTGGTGTCAACCATGGACGCGGAGCGTGCTTTGAGGAACCGCACAATAGAGGTACCGGGGATCAAGGCTGTTGCAGCACGGGAAGGGGGCGTTCTGTCCGCCCAGGGGAAAGGGAAGCCCTATATCATCGATGCTGTCGCTCTCAAGGTTTGACACCTGCTGCTTTCTCGTGCTTTGGCGTAGCGAACTTCCTCAGATGCAACACCGCGCCCAACCACCCAGGGAGTGGAAATCGTACCGAAAAGTTGCAAGAGCGGTGTACAGGGACCGGTAACGGAGGAACACCTTAGAAAAGAGGCTTAACTGCACCTCGCAACAGCCGTCGGTGGCCGTACCTCAACAGAATCTCCGTGAATACCAGGGTTGGACTAAATTGTCTCGAGCACAGCACGAATCTACGAACGTCTATCAGCGACTAAACATCGTTGACAGTTCAACACTTATGTCGGAAGTATGGGTGTACCCTGTGTTGGTATGTTCTTTTTCTGTATCAGAAATATACCTCTATCCTACCCACTCTTCAATTTCGTACGAGGGCCATCGCTGATCGTGTCACCTTTCGGATCCATGATCGGATCAACGCGCCTTCTGCCAGTACCGCCTGTAGTTGCCCGAGCGCGCGGAAGTGCTGACTGCTACGATCACAGCTTTTGAGTTTGCTCGAGGCGTTTGCGAACAACATCTCGCGGGTGTTGTTCTTTTTACCAAGGGTAACAAACGCACCAAGCCTTTCATCTTTTGAATCCCAACGTAACAGATTGTGCTGGCCGACAAGAGACGAGCACTGAACCCTTGGCAGGAGTCGACGGACAGAAAAGCTGCCACCAAGATTCAGGCGTTGTTCAGGAGCCACCGGCAGGTCTGATGTTGACCCTTGGTATTTCCGTACGAACTTACAGTCGGCTGTTCTCTTTAACGAATCTGGTGTCGATTTCACAACTGTTTATTGCCAGACATGACAGGGGATTGCATTAGGGTTTCGACCGCAGACAAGGAAGGGGGCCCACACAAGTTTCAGTAGTGTAAGCATGGAGCTGCTGTAGCTTGACATGGATGGTGTCCGAGCAACGTTTGAGTTGGAACGTGACAATTTTGAGAGCAACAGCCTGGGGCAGTCGGTTTCTGCCACGATATACCCCAAGTTTCGAAGCCCCCCCCCACTACACGTTACTCCCCCACGGTGTTTGTCATCGGGGTTTGGTTTTCGTCGCTTGGCAACGACGTTGTGCAACAAGCCGCCTCCTCCCCTCCCGTTGGGTTTTCGTCGCTTGGCAACGACGTTGTAAAACAAGCCCCCCCCTCGGTGTTTGCCCCGCCCCCCGGTGTTTGCGATCGGGGTTGGGTTTTCGTCGCTTGGCAACGACGTTGTAAAACAAGCCGCCCCCCCCCGGTGTTTGCCATCCGGGTTGGGTTTTCGTCGCTTGGCAACGACGTTGTAAAACAAGCCAATTCACTTCGTGAACTCGGCAACCAGGTTACCGTTTTTTTTTTTTTCCTCCGTTTATTTTTTTTGGGCGGTAACCATAATGATGGTTGAGTAGATCATGTTGTGCGGGGTGAACCCTCACTCCGCGCAAGGGGGATGATCGCACCACGTTGTGTTAAAATGGTCAAGCACCCTCGAGGCAGTTACACAGTGCTTACAACTGTCTCTGGAAGTGAAAGCACCAGAAAATAAATTAATTCATACGCAGCTGTCATCCGTACGCAAGGAAGTAAGCACAAGATGCCGAACACCCTTAGCAGGATGCAGCGCACCCTTCATGCGACTCGCCGAATATCTCACGGCGCTTCGCGCTTGGTGATGTGAGAGCCTGGTCCGGTGAGAACCCGGCGTGCTCCATCCCGGCTTTGTAGGGATGCGAGTTCAATGATCTAACGGCTACGGCATGCACGACTCTGAGTGCACCCCACTTCACGTTCCTGAGCTAGAATTCCCGATTCGGCGATCGTGTATCTCGCGCCCCCATACATTCTCGTGTTCAATTCCGTCGTCATACTACACTCTCTCATGACCAAGGTCGTGCGGATTCGGCGGATGAGGGTTCAACGACGTCGACAGGATGCTGAAGCCCGCCGCAAAGCACAGTACAGGGTGCGACGCATACAACTTTGTGTTCTGATGCCAAGTTACACTGATGTTTGACGCTTGTACTTCAAAGCAGAAATGGAACTATGTCGGGTGCACTCGGTGGAAATTTCAATTTTTGGTTCGAAAACCAAAGACAACGAACGGGTATCTTGCAACTACCCCTCGCCCGTGCGATGATTCAACTTGAAAGTTGTGGGTTTGTATCAGTCCATAACGAAACTCTTGAACGTTATCAAATCTCTGCGAAACTACCTATTGTGTGCGGAGACTTTCTGCAGCACTATCATTACAACTTCTCGCCTCCTCGACGGTTTCACGATACTGTCTAGTTGATTCTTTCGTTGTGGACTACCAGGCAGCAAACAGCCTGCAGCGTGTTTTCAGGGGACGACGCGCAAGGGTGGAGGCCAAGTCTCGGCGATACGGCCTCCGAGCTGTCAGGGTACAAAAAGTGAGTCGTGTCATGTCAAGCCAAAGTTAGGTCGATTTCCGGGCGCTCAGAAGGGAACTTGGTTCACGAGGAACTTTGACGTCGATATTGCCGGACTAAAATGTTTGAGTTCAGATACACCAGCCAAGTACGATGGGTTCTTTGTTCGCGTGTGGCGCTACGACGCAGAGCGACATATCGGTGGCAAACGTTTGCCACGAAAGCGATTGAAATACCCTCGACGTCTTTGTTTTTTCAGGTCTGGAGGGGTTTCCTAGGGAAGCGTGCCGCCGCAGACAGGCGACAACGCGTCCAGGCTGCCACTGTGCTGCAGCGAAGGCTACGGGGAGCGCAGGTGATGGAGATCGTTGCCTTAAGCGGGAACATCTATCAACAATGTGGTTTATTTGAACAACTGTGGTGCCGGACGTAGCAATACCTATGGGGTGGATCTCGCCTCCAAGCTCTCGAAATGGAGACCAGGCACGGCCGTCGGCCGGCTGTCTCCTTGCTTATCAGCATCAAGTGCAAGTTGCACTACTCGCGAAAGATAAAAAAACGTCGCTCAAGCGTGTACTACATCCTTAGGGATGGCTGTTGACTACAACGATCACGATACAAGCACACAACCATTCGAAACGCCTTAACGATAAGCACCAGAGTTCCCCCTTCCATCCAACCCCCTCCAAACCCTTCGATGTCTTGAAACAAAAGTCCTAAATGCGGTCGAACGAAGCTATTTATTATAGTAGAGTCTGCAACACATCAACAACCGCACCCATTCTTGCCTACTCCCTACGTTCGCTGTATTTGCAGGCTCGGTCTCTGGCAGCTCGTATGAAGCGAGAAGCCGTCACGACGTCAGCGCCGGCAATCGCGATACAAGCCACCGCACGCCGATACCTGGCTAGACGGCGGCGCAACAAGCTGGTCGAGGCGAAGCAAATCGAGTGGGAGATGACCACAATGGCCAAGGAAATGATCCGCTTTTGCGCCGAAAGAGCCAGACTGAGGTGTGTGGTGATGAGTACGACAGGGAGTGTCATACATTCCGTATCACACCGTTTGGCGCTGCAGTCGTTGACCGCATCCCACCCGCGTGAATGGGAACAACGTGGTGGTAGAAGCAGCCCTATGCTCTCTTTATGTGTGAGCGGCAAACGTTAACCGTCCTGATAATCATACGGCGGCAACCCTGTTCGAGGATACAGTTGTTGGTTGCACGGGTTTCACTGTTCAAGGCGAGGGACTCGCGAATAGCATCCACACTGAAGCTCTAATTTTTTCCTTGGTTGATGAGAGCAATACCTACCGACGTTGGGGCGGTGCTGCAGGAATGCGGCTCAGCACTCTCGGCTCTCTATGCATTTCGATATCAAGCCCCGGTGATTGATAGTATCTTCCCTGATATTTGTTTCTAAGAGTCATCGTGGAGGGAGCCGCTGCGCCGACCTTCAGGGGGGATGGAGTCACACAGTTCATATTCCGGTGAGATGTGTCGCGTACGGCTTACTTCCATTGTCCCAACAGTATCGTCCTAACGGACTTGTATGGCCGTACCGGTCCCAGCCTCGGAATTCCCGTCCCTCTTTTACCCCTGTACCTGTTCTCCTGGAGCTCGAGAACAACCTAGGTTTCCCGCCTTCACCAACCTCAATACCACCTCCCATCGCCAGCTTCGAGCCTGGTCATTTTGAAGCGATTCCTCGAGCCCTCTATTCCTCCTGAAATTTCCAGAAAAATTGCGGTGAAACGGAGCGGAGAAGAAGGGTCCGGTTCTTTCCGTCTTGAAGGCAGGGCGTTCAACAAGCTATTCGCAAGCACTCCTGGGATGTTTAGTTCTTCGTTCCTCGCCACCGATGTCGACCTTGTCTTCGCCAGGGTGAGTACAAACAAAGAAGGCACAGGTTTGCCCATACCAACAGGTCAACTCAGTATGTTGTACGTCCGTAACTACAGTACAACAAACGGGCGGAGTGTGGGGGTGCTTGTGTTTCCAGGGCTGGCATGATGCAGTCGTATTCCAAACAAGCATGAACAAGTTTGGGGGATTGAAATGAATGCAATCCGTTGCGTCCTTTGTCGATGGTGGAGTGTGCTCTTCAACCAATTATTCATTTGATGGGCTAACGCAGAGTACTGCCTATTTCTACGAAAAAAATTTGATTCTGTCGTGTACCTATCCCATTCCGGCAGAACGCCCCTATCATCAAATCAGCGTCTGAGAGGCGCGATTATCCCCAAAGTAGTACGCCAACTAGATAGGACATGGCACAAATAAGGAACAGGAAGAGAAAGAGGCAGCAACTAACGTCGACGACGAAACCTATGATCGAAACCATTGCTAACCCCGTTTGCTGCACATGTGTCCCCATCCTCCTGTGGAGGAATAGGTATCTTCCCCTCATCCGATATGCTTTTCCACCGACAGAAACTGATGCTCAACCACTCGCGAAAATGTAGACCACCCACACACATGTGGTTCTTGTTTTATTTCACGGATGGTAACACAACGGAGGCATGGCGACGTCGACTATCACGTCGCCTCGCCTCGTATGACGCAGGTCAAGGACAAAGACGAGAAGACCCTCACGTACGCGCAATTCGCTGCTGCCCTCAACGTGGTAGCGGCCACCCTCTTCCCAGAGGTAAGAAAGAAGTCAAACAAGTCTGGAAGAGGTTCATACAACTACCGCGATTGCCACGGCAAGTCTGACGTCGGACCCTATGTGGCGCAGGTAAAATAGACAAGACCCTGAGGAACGTAGCCTCGTGGCAGACAACGATTGTTGAACGACACAAACATGTGAAGAACAACATCGGTGGTTAGGGCTGTTGTTGTAGACCGAGCGATGACAAGAAATGAGCCCGATCACGTAGTGTGGATTCGCCTGCATTCGCGGGATAAACTACACGCCGCGTCTTGGGAGAAAAGGTTGCTGAAACTCGAACGCTTAGAAGTGCTTCCAAAGTCTGCAAGTAGTTGGTTACATCCGACACCATCCGAGCGATCAATCAATTGGTGATGCTTGACACGTTTCTCGCAGACGGAAAGGGTCAAGACACGGGGCAACCATAGACATGTTTGAATCGACGGTCACCCGCCTCACAGTCCGTCCATGAAACGCTCCACTCCCACTCGCCCCCTTTATGATCGCTTGTTTGTGGCTGGCTTACGATGAAGACCAAGCGGTTTCGTGACTTCCTTGCTTTCAAAGCCAAGGCCGCGAGGCTGCTGGAGTTGGTTGAGGGGAAGGTGCTCAAAGCTCCCGGAGCCACGGAATACCGCAAATTTTGCCAAAAAGCGGGTGAAAGGTAATCCAACATCACTAAGTAGCCTATCACAATGTTTTGAAGTTAAGGTGTAAAGCTTTCTTCTTGGGTAGTTCGAGGTACTGTCGGTGGCTCCATTCGGATACCTCGCATTGTTTTGGTCAAGATAGCGCCGTATCGCATCATCAGTAGCCTCTCCAATCGGTACGCAGCGTAAAAATAGGTGGCAGTACATAGCCGTTCAGAGTGGCGTCCGGCCCCACAAGAAACCCCGGTCACTCAGACACCTCAAGTAGGCCCAGTAAGACGGTGCAAGAGTGCCAACACTGAGGGGATGATCTTGTTTCGTCTTCCGGTGGGCTATCATGCTCATCATACGACAAGGGCCAGGAGAACAGCTAGCGAGATCCACGCTCCCCTTCCCTAAATTCTCGTCTCGTCGCATCTCAGGTTTGTGTTCCGAACGGCAAGCAAGATTCAGGTGACAATTCGAGGATACCTCGGCCGTAAACGATTCAGGCAGAAGAAACTGGAGAGCGACAAAGTGGCCAGAACCGCGTTAGAGTCACTGGAGGTGATCAAATTGCAGGCGAGTGGGCACAAAGACAAGGTCTTGCTTTCTACGCCGGGTGAACGAAATACGTGATCACCAATAGCTTACAAATCCGTTTCTAACACCTCCCAATACACGACCTCGCTCACGCACGCAGTCTCTTGGAAGAAGGTACTGCGCGCGCTGCCGCGCGATCCGCCTCGCTCAAGCAAAAATCTCCAAGTTCATTGATCCGACAACGCACCTACCTTACTGGCTGCACCCTACAACGGGTGTGACAACCTGGACTAAGCCTAAGGTGTTCGGAGCCGCCGATGTCGAGCATGCCATGATGGTTGCTACGTCGAAAACGGAGCATTTGGTAAGGCGAATACCCTTGCTGTTTGGCCTTAATATTACAAATTTAAACAGATCCAATTAGACGCTGCCTGTCGGATCTCCTCCCGAATGGATGTGGGAACCCCGAATGAGTAAAATCGCGATTTGATGCCGAACAGAATGTTTTCACCAAGATATCGATGATGTTTTTGGCGGCGGCTCCGATACTTGCAGGGACAAAGTAGTACCATTTTGCTTACCGTTTGGTTTGGTGACAAACAATGTTCACGTATCTGCAGGTAAAATGTTCGGTGTGTGACGTCAGGCCCGTGAGGCGGATGTGCACCTCTTGCAGGGACAGTTACTGCGAAGAGTGCTTCCAGGCTCTACACGGAAGGGGCAAGCGACGAGCACACGTCGCTCCTGTCATCCACGTGTGTTGTGTGTGCAAGTACCAACATGTGAGTGCGATTCAGTCATTTCCTGGAACAGCTGGAAAGTCTCCCGCTCCGCTGCTGTTGACTCCCTCTTTCTCCTTTTTGAATAATCTTCTAACGGACGAGCTACGTCCCGGAGTCACACTGCAAACCCTCGCTGCTGTTCATGCCTTCTTTTTTTTTACGTAGAAAGAGTCACCCGTCCTTTTCTAGTGGAAACACCGCTTTGTCTCCTTCAACTTAAAACAATTCAGGGCCGGTGGTGGTCGGACGTCTCTCCTTCCAACGAACGCCTTTATCTCCACCCGCCTGGCACTTTCGCCTCGTAATAATCTGAATGCAGGCCACCCGAATTTGCGAGACTTGCACGTTCAAGGTCAGCACTACGTCCGCGTACTGTGACGTTTGCTTCTTCAACAAACACCCGGGCCTAGACAATCTGTCCAAGGCAGAGGCCGCCGCGATCGAGGAGGGAAGAGGAGGCGGGGGGGTAGGGCGGGCAAAGGCATGGTCTTTGACCGCTGCAAAAAAACAGGAGGGGTGGAATCACAGGCACGTGGCACATGGTACCGCCAACATACCGTCGGCGTGTGTGTGTGGTGGCAGCACCTTGACAATGTTGCGGGTGTACATACAAGTATATCCAAAGCATGTGTATGGTCGTCTGAGGCTTACCACGTTCGGCGGCATACTTTCCTACCCTGCACCTTCAATATTGCAAGCTGTACTTTCACCTTCCATTCTGCAAGCTACAGCAGTGGATAGAAACCGTGATCGATTGGTTCCTCGGGAGTTACGGCTGAAAAACAGTTTGATTCATTTCATTGTCGTGATCCCTGAGGCAGTGCAACGCTCAGGAATGGGTGGATCGATGTCATCTACTTCAATACATGAACTGGTTAATATGTCCAGCGGGCGCTACAACAGTGCTTGTAAAGGCTCATAGATGCCCAGATTGCCAACAACAATATTCAACGACAAAGTGCGATCGATGGATTGATTATGTAGGACATTTTGGTTTCGCCGCCCTCATACACCTATCACGACGCAGGTGGACTCCTTTAGTGGTAACGTGCGTGGAATGCCGACGGTACGCGGCTAGGTGGCTGTGCGATGATTGCGAAGAGGTCTACTGCGTTGGATGCTACGCCTTCGTACACAAGCACGGTACTAAGGTCAGGACGTCTTGGAGTGCTTTGTGATGACGTCAATACAACGTTGTAGGTTCTGACTAGCGGCCGTCAATCCAGAGCGACAATCAGAAAGTGAAACAACCCAAACCCCATCTCAAGGTTTTTATTGGGCAAAAAGGCATGGATTGCGAAAGCTTGCGATTGTTTTTTCTGTGTTACAGGAGAAGAGAGGGGAATAAAGAATCATCAACGAACAAGAGGGGTTCCACGGATGTACTGCCATCTCCCCCCCCTGTCTTAGTGACCGCCACTCCCCTCTGCTATCCTCTGTTAACCGCGGATACACCTACTTGTACTATTCGTATGCATATGATTGAGCTTAACTACAGGAGCACGACCGGTTGAGGTACAAAGTACAATTTAGGGTTCAATAGCATCATCTATCTGTTGCGTGCTTTCTTACAGGTTAATCACGGAGCTGAAAAACTACCATATTACCCGGCTAGCCTCCACATGGAGTACGCCATGGCCTGCCGCAAGCGCAGCCGGAAGGAGAGGGACGAGGAAGCGCGCACTCTTTGGTGGGAACATCGAGCTTGACCGGTTACACCAAGAGTTGCAGTAACGGTTTGGACCAGGAGTTGGGATAACAGCGATAGAATACGCAAACTTGTAGCATGTCTGTCATCGAGCTGCGATGGTGGCAAAAGCAGCAAGACTGCATGGCTTGGACGAGGCTCACGTTGTAAGCATGACCGATTCCGACAAAAAACGACATTCCACATGTTCTCGTCATTGTTTGCCTGTCAGCTTTTCACTTCAAACAATCGAAACATGCTTTGGGCGCCAAGCACACTCCTTTAGCCTGATATGAGCAAAAAACAGAAAATGGGTCAAGCTCACAGACACGTGCTGATCCAGCTTTAACAAGAACATGCGGCGAACAAATTTGCCAGAAAGACTATCGAAACAAACGTCGTTCGGCGGGGAATAATGTTATCCCATGTCAACTCCTTCAGCCCCGCGCCACAAGCACGCCGTTATCAACAACGTCAATGATAATTCATGCATAGATGGTGATGGTGCCTCTCTGCTCTGGTTGCGTGATAGGTTGGAGGACCAAGCACGAGCAAAAGAACGAGCAGCCGTGAGGATTCAGGCACGATGGCGAGGAAAGATTGGCCGCATCGAAGGGCTGGCCCATTTGAAGGTTCGTGAGACCATATCAAGTCATTGTGAGGGCCTTTGGGTTGATAGCGCTAGATGTACGTACCGTTTGGGTTTTCGTGTCATCCATTCTGGGCATCAGTCTACACCGTTCGGGTGCACGTATGACACACCAGTCGGGGTCCTGGTTGTAGTACAATAGGAAATCCCCACTTTTCCTCCTGCAGTGCTTCCATCAATTTTGGCCCGAGGAGGGTTCACCAGTCCATGCTCTCTTCGCTTGTGCGTGTTCCCACTCCGGGTAGATTCGAACCCACACATAAGAGCCAGAGGGTTCCATGGCAGCTGGAATAGCTCGTCGACGTTGATTTTTTGTTGTTGAATATTTCGGTAGGACATCTGACGGACCTAGCAATAGAAGGTGGTTCGGACGGTCAACTAACATAATAAGTCCTTTACATCTGAACGTGCCCTTGTACCCTTCAAACTGCAACTTTCATTAGGCTGGCCGGGCAAGACATCGCGCAGAATGGAGACAGAGAAAGAAAGACGACCGCAAGCGGAAGGCACTTTGGTACGAGGCTCTCGACTTGGCGGTGAGACACGACACGGTATACCTAAACGCCACGGTGTACCAAAACGCACAGTTTTCCGTGATGAAGTCGCAATCATCACGAATCGATCCCCGGACAGTTGGTTGATTCACAAGCGCGTGCTGATCCAACGCTGTTCTAGTTCAAGTAGGACGATCTGAGGTTTGTAGCTGAGAGAGTTGTCGAGGCTACTTGGGCCCTTCTCAAGCAAGAAACTCTTGACTCGAATCCTTCAAGCTGGCGTCACAACCGAGAGACAACAGACAGCTTGGTGAAGGTGTCGACTGTTACGTAGTCATTTCAACCAGTGTCAATCCGGATTTGTGGAGAAACTCGTAGTACCTGGGTGTTTCATCGAACGCAAGCCAAAGTCAGTTTTCTCTGGGGGGAGGCCGAACCACTCCTTCACAGGCAGTGGTGGTACCTTGCACCGAATACGCTACTCAATCCCTTGTGTTTCGCTCTCGGTCTTAAGAACTCCGCCAGCGTGACAACTGAAGGCGATCGCCTCAATCCGCTCGGTGTCCGACTCTAGCATTGTTGGGCATGGACACGGGACAATGTGCTGTGCGTAAATGTCTTTTTCCTGGCGTCGTTACAACTCCCCCATTATCACCACACGCAGGGACTAGCTCCCCGCCTGGCTTCCGACAGACTGGATGAACATGTCCTGAAAAGGGTTCCTAGAAGGGCTCGCGCGCGTCCAAGAAAATACATCGCGCTTAACAGGGAGGATGATGCATGGGTGGAGGGGAAGCTGGACGGGCGAAAGGCAAGAAAAATTACAACTAACTCTGAAAACACCAGGGCTAAGGGCTAAGACTAAGTAGGCCTCTCACAACATGTGGTAACGCAAGAAGTGGCTAAACTGCGTTGCGGATCCAGAACACACGTTATGTTTACCAGTGGTAATCTCCAGTGGTGGTTGAGGACAACCTTGTGTTTCTCAGTCATACGCGGTCGCGTAGCGTCAGAACCAATATCGTTGGCAACGGTAATGATGTAAACAAAAGCAGATTGCTCGGTCACGGCAATTGATAAGATGAAAAGCTGTACTGTGTCAACTCCTCCACTACTGTATACCTGGAATCTTCAGGGTATCGTAAGACGAGGTTTCGATATTGGCACGGTCGACGAACTCAAGGACCAAGCCACGAGAGGGGGGATTCGTTTGCCTGGGGGGCACACGGTGAAAACGGGGCATCGCTGCATATACACCGACCCAGCCTACGTCATGGGGGATTTCCTCAAGCCGGAAAACATCATCCGCGTGCAGGGTGAGGAATTGCCCTGCCTGTTTGATCATCACGGCGAAGATGACCTTCGAAACGTTTGCGACACGTACAGCGCGGCAGTGAAAGAACGATTCTAATTAGTTTTCACGTTTTTAGTCGCTCCGCTCGAAATAAGTCGTGTGTCTCTGGGGTACTCCACGTATACCGCTATTCAAAGGCGAATTATGCTTGAGGAGAGTCGTGTTTTATTGCAACGACGGGGTTGGATCAAGTTTCATTCTCGCTCATCATAAGCTCTGGTAGGAATCGGAACCTCTACCACCAGCACAGTAATCTGATGAAGATTTCCGCAATAGAAGTTGGAAAGCTTCCCCGTGTCGTGTCGCAAATGACTCCTCCCAAAGATTTTTCCGAAACTCAATAACCTTGAAGCTTCCAGAAAAAATGCAAAGGAATACGTTCATCGTTGGAATACTGTGCCACTATGTGACCATTTTGGTTGTAGCACGATTCTAGACTACCGCGTTGTGCTGGTGAACGTATTCCTCTTTTCTGCTTTAAAGGCGAGCTGTTCAAGGTGGAAACCGTGAGAGCAGACCGCATTCGAGTGGATCGTGTTTGGAACAAGCGGGGCTCCAAGCGTGTCTTGCTGTACAAGATGGTGCTCAATCCAAGGCAAAAACTTCTTTTGGGGTAAGAATACTCGCACGTACAGAGTGTGCGGCTACGGCTGGTTGCTGGTCATTGCAGCATTTACGATGTTGAGTATTCCTTATTGATTAACAAGCACTTTCTACGTACATTCATGCCAGAAGCGACCATCGGGAAGTATACACCCGAAGAGGACTGTGAGTTAAACGAATCAAAAGAGCGTGATGAACGTTGACGTTGCACCTTTCAAGTCCTTGCATTCGAATCTTGTGACATCAGAATGATCGGTGATGCAAGGAACTGACGCGAATGGAAATATACCCCTAACAAGGTCTACATGTTTGACTTGTCTCCCACACTGCCTCGCCTAATCTCGAGCTCTTCTCTGTCATGTAACCTCCTCGTTTCAGCGCATCCAGGGCATTCTGGAATTCTCAAGCAGTGCAATACGGCATTCAGGTGATATTTATTTCATCGAACAGTACAACCATCAAGAGCATGTCATTGTACTAGAACTTCAACTTTTAAGGATAGCCTCCTGGTGATAGTGCCACCCCACGTACTTAGAACTGTTGGGGGGATATACAAAAGTAACTGTTACATTATATTTCTTCCAGGAGCATCTACAGGCGCACATTTGTCACACACAAAACAACAACATAACAGGTCAAGATTCTGATGCGTTGGCAAAATGGTGCTTGGCTGCACTCTATGGTGCTGTTTCATCTTCAGCGTGCGTTGACCATAGGGACATCCAGCAGCCTAAACCGAACCATTCAGAGTACCTGAACTGTACGACGGCATGCATCTAGCCCAACTACATGCACCCATTTCTATGCTTTCGTTTGTGATCAAGGTTACTTTGGTCTTGGAAGAAGACGTCATAAACCGCATGCTCCGGAAGGCCGCGAAATATTACAAGAGGAAACGACGAAAGCGCCTATACACCCTGGCGAAGAAGACTCTCAAGAAGAGCGAGGAGAACGTTGGTTCTCTGAAGCTTAAGCTCAACATCGCTCAGTTCGGGCTTGACAACAGGTGGCGAATCTATAAATGTTCTAAATCCAGTTCGCTAAAGTTCCGTTCCACCGAAGTAGCTACGATTCAGACTCCCTCCATTTTCACCGTGGCTCTTGTTGTCAATCTGCACGGAACATAATCGTGCTGCTTTTTATCAAACTCATAAGGCTCAACTCGAGAACATACCGTACAACACACGATTGAGGAAGTATTATACCGTACGGCGTGAACACCTCAACCTGTCTGCACTAGGCCGACGCGGTGATCAGCTGTGGCATTTCCACGCCTTATGGTGCAGAGCTGCAGAGCTCTCAAGTACCAGGCTGGACCGTGGCATACAGCTCAGCATAGAGTTGCTCTGATGCATTGCGCCATGAGGTTGCACGGCCCCCATTCCGTCAACCATCAACGGTCATGATTTCACCTATTTGACCCATCCCGGTTGATGACCGATCACTAAACAATACATAGGGTAAGTACACGTGTTTGACTGGCGGGTGCGACGTATGCATGTGTATGTATAGAAATTGAATCACCCGACGGAAGCACAGCACCGGAACTTCCTTCGTGACGCGATATACCTAATATTTCCTACAATGCTGCAATTTGCTCAGTGGAGATTTGGATGGAGAAAAAAAAGCAGCTGCTACGGATGACGGTGCTCCGGAGACTGCTGAATCAGCCCTGGCCTGGATAGAGGTTGTGAACGGGGTACGTCTGAAGTGTGCTCGTCGGCCGTGGGGTTGAGTTTGGGGCTCCCTTCGTGAACCTACAGCTCATAAAGTCAGAATTATAGAGCTCGAGAAGCTGGAAGGAAGACCGTCAGGTTTAGTTGAGCATTTGCAATAAACAGTGATCAAACCTTCGAGCACCAGTCTTGCTTTCACGCTCTTGACGAGGAACCCGATCTACCGTGCTCATGCGCCTTTCACCGTTTCTGACGCCGCAGACGACCGGGAGACCTCTATGGCGGAACACGGTCACCGGAGAGGAAAGCTCTGTGCCGCCAAAGGGCATGGCGAACATCGAGAACATGACCAACGATTTAGAAAAGCAAAAGGAAATGCTCCGCGCAAAGAAGGCGAAAAAGCGATAGGTTGGCACTATTCACTGGTGGTAGATACTATGGATTTAGTCAGGCATAATCCCTTCATTGTTATTTTCCTTTCAGCCCTCTTTAGGACAGACAAACAGTCGTCGAGATTTTCAGGATGAAAGGTGTTGTTGTGTCCAAACAGCACGATATGGCTACCACATACAGCAGTTCAGAGCCTCTGGTTTATCGGGTGGTGCTTTGGTGTGTACACAATCCTGTCTCCCGTGTCCTGTACCTGCAGAGATTTGCATTATGTACCACTGTTCACGTTGACCGCGAAGTCAACCACGATCACGAATGGCGAATATCATGGAGGACGATCCATGGGTGAATACATCACACACGGGAAAAAATAAGGAGGTAAAGTAGGGTTAAGCGACAATATAAAGAGATATTTCAGTGAAATACACCAACGCATAGCCCCACGAGGCCGTAGTGGTGAACGGAACCACATTTCAGCACGCTTTTGTTGCTCCAGCGGGGGTACTGCGTGTTCGTCCAGAATCGCCAAGGTAGTTTCGGACGTCGTCTATAAGTCCCCCGTTGCAAAAGTGCTACTTGGACTGGAGATTCCCATCACAAACGTGTACAAGAACACCAAGCAATGGACCTTAGCCCGCCGAGAGGCCCTAATTGCGTCGGCATCATGCTGCGGCCAGTTCTGAGCGGGTAATCCCTCCCTCACAGCGTACAAACAACTGCACACAAAACACTAAACGGAAGCACATCTGCGGAAACGAAGACCACTCAAGGGCGAGAGCGGCGGGCTCGCCTCGACATTCGCGATGGGCATCTCCCCCGTGCGGACTCGCGTCAGCTCTTGTTCCGATCGAGGATAAGTCGCTTTCCTCCTCATTTTTATTGCCCTCAGGCAATCCGGAGTCGGGGAACACATGTGGCCAACCTCCCACGCCCGGACGGCCCTTTGCTTGATGCTTTTTTTGCCGCAAGTATATTCCTTTCCGTTCGCACGAGCACAATCGTTTTTCTCTGTCGTTAAACAACGTCGCAGACTAGCTAGCCTATTGCACTTTTCTTACAGATGACATGAAATCGAAAAAAGAAAGACATGTAAGTAGTCTCAACACAAGGCATTTTCACACAACCCTAACGAAACAGAAACAAACCTGCACACATTTGCGATCTATTTCTTCACCACAAACACCCGAACAACCAACCGTACAAACAATTTCTTTCTCCTACCCGTCCTAGAACACATAGCAGCCCGATGCAAATGATGACCACCAACTATCTTGTTGAACCTGTTACCCACAGGCGAGTTATCATTGTATGTATGGTACATATCGAAATTATTGTATGGTCTCGGAGGATGAGCAGGTAATATAACGCTACGTATTCATCGCTAATTTTGTGCTGGACTCTTAGCTTTGGATAGATGTGGAGGTCAGGATATGGTACATTCATGCAGTTCAAAGTCTCTTATCAAAATTTCAACATAATACATAGCCTACATGTACGTGACCCGATAGGCACATGAAATGTCTCCTCTCGCCCCTAGTATACAGGCCATACATATCGCAAGAGGTCAACCTCATCAGGATGTGCACCAGCTTGCAGAACTACTGCTGTAGTGCTGTGTACATAGACTAGTGAGGTTGCACAAATATATTTTTTGTCTCCCAGACTGACTGAGGACCACAGAGTAGTCGGCACACAGTGGCATCGAATCGCTTATCAGGGCGTGTTTCCCTGCACGTTTCTGGACAGGATCTACGCGGTGGTACTACACATGTGTTTGCCCCTAGCACACACGCCACACATCTCGCAAGAGATCAACCTCATCAGGACGTGTGCACCATCCGCCTTGCAGGAGGACTACTTACTACTGTTGTGAGGATGCACAAATACATGTATTGTGTATTGTCTCCCAGACTGACTGAGGACCACAGTATTCTGACTGACTGAGGACCACACACAGCAGTACTCGGCACACAGTGGCATCGAATCTCTTGTCAGGGCGTATCTTCCCTGCACTTTTGTGAACAGGATCTACTGTACTACTATAGTAGTACGTATGATGCATACATGTGTTTCAGTAAACCATGGTACCATTCTATATATATAGACTATACGTAGATGCAGTCCGCAATCCAACTGCCAACTGCCAACTTTGGACCTCTATAGATACGCAACTCGACTGCCAACCATGGTGGGTGTACAGGTCATACGCCTGAACTTCCCGTCTGCTTGTCGCACACACACAGCCAAGCTGCAGAGATCATGTACGCCCGGCTTGTCGCCTTCGCGGCTTTCCTTCTCCTGTTCGCGTCGACTCCGGCTATGAAGAGGAAACCTTCTCCTCACAAAGCACTGCCACCACGAAAAAATGATGCGTCCACCCCAGCAATGACCCACTTCTCTGCGTCCGGAACGGACTCCGGTGGCAATCCTCTCCGTGATGAATCCGTGTTACTCCTCGGAGGCGGTACGCGTCAGGCTGGGCTAGCAACTGCGCGGGCGAGTCGTTCCGTAAAGCGTACGAACGAAACCGCCTCTGCGCGCGCCAACGCCCTCAACGTATTATGTCCCCAGAGGGCGAACAAGAAAGCCAAGCAATCTAACGAATAGTCCAACAATGCCGGCAATGTCGTGCAAGACACCACCACCACGACTGTTCAACGCGCCGTTCACTCGTCGGATTTCATTGCATGCCACTTTCCCGTTACGTGTCTATGAGTGGTCTGCGTACTGGTTATGGAGGTGTTTCAATTGTGCACTTCTTTTTGCGGCGTCTACATTTTACAGAGTGGGACTTGTGTCCGTTTTATGATTGCCCGACCTCGACATAAATTTGCGCCTTGATTTCCCTGGTCGTCGTTCACTAACTTGTATCTGGTCGGACTGCCTTCATTTACCGCTTTTATTTCGACTTCATTTTCCCGCGTGTGTTTGACTCAGCGGGCCTTAGCTCACTTTGCCCTTGCGCGTGTATGACTGATCTTCGCGCCTGACCTTGCCTGGTTTCTGGTTTCTTTTGCGGTTTGCCATTTGGTTGCGGTATTCTTTGCGCTGCAGACATATATATGCCGGGACCATTTCGAAGAATGTCCAAAACATCTATCTTCGCACTAACAACCCATCGGGGCTGCCCACGGTCATTCTCTCCCGTACTTCGCGACCGGAGAAATAACTGCGGTTCACGCTTCCCTGTCTACCCGACACAGCGCAGCCTTGCCGATCCTCATCTGACGCCAATGGCTACCGTGGTCACGGCCGACGGCCACCTGTCGTTTTTCCGACCCGGTACCCATGCCAACGCCAAGTCAAGAACGAGGAAAAACGTCGCTTCCCTTCGTCCAACTTCTTCTTCGCCGCGAACAATGATACTATCATCCTCGACCCCCACGTAGATAGATAGATAGATGTACCCTCCCTGGCCTATAAAAGGGAGGGGCTTCAGATGAGGACGCCAATGGCTACCGTGGTCACGGCCGACGGCCACCTGTCGTTTTTCCGACTCGGTACCCATGCCAACGCCAAGTCAAGAACGAGGAAAAATGTCGCTTCCCTTCGTCCAACTCTTCTTCGCCGCGAACAATGATACTATCATCCTCGACCCCCACGTAGTAGATAGATAGATAGATGTACCCTCCCTGGCCTATAAAAGGGAGGGGCTTCAGATGAGGCCGGGGCTACCCCCCGGGCTGTTACATGGTATATTCATGCAGTATAGTGCAGGCCCATATGTATTTAGAGCTCTGCGAGATGTGTGATGTGAGACTACTGTTTTTTAAAGATCGTTACTCTTCTTATTTTCAACAGGTGCGAATGGTTTCATAAATCTTGAGGAGGTGTGGAAATGAGTTCACGAAGGCTACCCCGACTCACTGAGTTCGCTCGGTCCTGCTTGTCATTCCTCGCCACATTTCACCAAACGCAATAGTCAACCTCGGGTGGCAGGTCATGGCCACTCCGGATCCCAAGCTCTCTCACAGTAGTTGAGGGCACCGTATAGAGATGGGCTTGGTTCTTTCTGTGAAAACAAATGACAGATGACAGCCAAGAAGGTCGACTCGGTACAATGTATGTATACGTGCTGCTCGCTTCGCTACAAAATTGCATTGAATAAACAATTTTTTCATTGGAACAGTTAGAAGTGCTTACTCTTACACATACATTCCAGAACGACTCCAAGATTGGAGCTATCTATGCATAAGAAGACACGTTTGGCTCCTTACGCTTGGTCACACACGCTTTAGTAGTCAGCAGCCGGGGAGGTGCACGCGCAGTACCTACAATCCAACCCAACCGATTTACCCGATTTATGCAAACCATCCACATAACAAGGATTCTCGGTACAGAAAACTGACCGGACCGACTCTCTCCTTGTTTGGATGCACGCAGTCAGTTGTTGTAGTGGTGGTGTCGTCGTGGTAGGTTTCACTTTGTTTTCTGGCCTTCGTTCTCTCTCCACGACGCTTCGGATCAACCGGGTGACGGCAATCTAGACACGAGTGAGCCAATAGCGATGTACATTCGTGCTGTTTCACTTTCACTCGTGAAGAACTGCTACAACTTCTGGGTAGTACTCTCACTAGACGACACAGTACGGCTATGGAAACGCGCAAGACAGCACGTGCATTAGTCTCTGGTGGAAGATAACGCATCACGATAGATGTCGCACGCACTCTGTTTATTTGCGGTCGGACATACGCAGCCTCTTAGTAAGTCCTTCTTTGGAAAATACACAGAAAAACAAAGAAAGAAAATTCGGTGCAGGTGTGAGGATCCCATGAATATACCAGAAGATTTATCGTTGCGCATGCAAGATCGTTCTGGGTTGGGCGACAGGAAAGCGGCACCACGTGCACGTCTGGTGACCAACCAGAGCAGGTGGAGGGCTGGAATCCAACACATCGCACCATTTCGTGGAAATGCTGTGTGCGCACGTGTATGCGCAACATGGAAAAACTATAAGGTCCGTTGCATGCACAAGCACGACGTAAGCCTGGAGACAAGCACTGCTGTTTCATGGACACATGGGCGCATGGGCGCATGAGAACCAGAATCTTTATTATTGCTCCGCCATTTCACCCGAAGCGGCACTCCAATCGGTTCACTTCCTCAATTCCGCCGCGTGCCGCGCGCCAGTGCGTGCTGTGGTGCTGCTCCTCCTTGGGGTTTACACGTCCGCACATCCACACATGGCGATTCCAGGGGAAGAATCTCGAGCGGCGGATCGTATCCATGATGAAGATGCCTATGTTGGGATCGATACGGTATTTTGTCTTGCAACTGCTGTCAATTGTTGTAGGCTACTGCTGCTGTACCTCAGGACATCGTTTCGGGATACGCCGAGTAGACCAACAAGTGCGCTGTGTTGGTGTCCTTGCGAACGAACTCCAACGTGGAGTATCGCTGGCTACTAACCTGTTTTGGCATGGAAGAGATGGTCCCTCAAGCCTCGAAAGATAACCCTTGTCTCTTTGTCTCTACTGCTTTTATTTGTTTTGATCAAGACTCGATCCGGGACGACCCAGGCGGTTGGCGACGATGGCATCTCGTTGGGAGGTGCTAGTGTCGAAACTCTGGACGAGTTCCCCTCCCCCCCAGAAGTGCAGGCCCTGCAAAAGCAGAAAAAGATCGTCGATAAGCTGGTGCGTACGTCCGTTGACAGCTGTTTGAAGGAATTGGCGTCTCACGAGGATCATCACCAGTAGCCGGTTACCCTCTTGACCCGTGCACCGTTTTATGTAAAAAGATGAGTATGCAAAGCCAGAAATGAGGTGTGTGTCAGCGGTGATCAAGTGATGAACAAGTCGACGGTGGTCATATCTCGAACGGGTAGTCTTTCTGTGTTTTATGCATACAGTAGCGGCTACGGTTTAAGAGAGGGTTGGTACAAGTCAATTTTGCTCTCTTAAATCGGTATTTCTGTTAAACCGATTCGACTACGCTTTAAGAGAGTATTCCTTTAACCCTTGTGTGACTACACCCACGAATGAGCTCCTTTCCCAGCTCCGATGACTCTTGAATGCGACATTATCGAACCGAATTGAGCTGTGGATACCTGCGTCGACGAGGGNATGTGCTGCCAAAACTGAGCAACTTCCTCTGGGTCCATGATGATGGTAGTGATTGGGTTACTTCTGCTGCTGCTGTTGTGCCTAAAGGTAGAGAGGTAGGAGCGGCAAGGAGACTATCGTCCCCGGCCACTTTTCGCTCACAATAGCAAGGGTTTTCGGGACTACAACTCTGATCACAGCTCCGATCTTCCCCCTCTATCTGTAGTATAGAAATTGATAATTTGGCACGATTTTATTCTATTTGACCCGATATTCAGTTCACGCCCAGCTCGTACAGCAGTCACCGATGAGAGCCCTGATGTGTGTTGGTCTGCTGTTACATACCAAATATTTGTGTGAGCAAGGGAGCGGCGTGTGGATGCGACCATGTGTACTCGAGTGCATGTGGGAGATACCGGTAGGGTGTGTAGAGAACGGGAGACGGTGGTTGAAATATTTGTGTTCCATAGCCTTGGCCTTGATGATGTCAGCGGTCTCTTCGCCCAGTGTAGAAAAAAAGACCCTCGGAAGATCCAGGGAAAACCCAGTCACATAAGGGTTAAACCATATCTCACTTTAAGAGAATATTACCTTATACCGTAGCCAACTCGAAAGGTCGTGGAACACTGACACCCTGACGCCCACTCCAGCAGTATGTGCCGTCAGAGCTCATGGAGAGCCTATCATTTACGTATGTCACATGACCCAGCTAGCGTCAGCACCATAGGCTAGCTCCACACACAGCTTTGTCTGTTGGTCGGCGAGCGATATGGACCCAAGTCACGGTACGCTCTTGGAACCTATGCTGGGAGATTGGACTCAGTATCATGTTGTCGTGTGGCACACTTAGTGCGCTTGGAAAAACAATATAGAAGCGGTGCACCTCAGTGGTGCCGAGCGGGTCCACCACACCACAGATACCATGGAGGTACTGCCCGCAGACGCCTCTGCATTTGTGTATTGTGAAACGAGGCGGGCCTGGCGTGTCGTCGGCCATAGTGCAGCGGTCGCCCGCTGCGCAGGGCATGGTGTCTGCAGCTGTGTCTGTGTTGAGAGCTGTGGGATTTGCGTGATGGCTACGTGACGTGGCCTCCAGCAGCTCAACTTAAGAGAAAATCTCAGAAATATGCCGAATTTCTCTTAAATCGATTTTGGTCGTGCCAAGCGATTTTCCTCTCTTAAACCCGTACCTTCGCTTAAAAATTGCTCCTTAAATCGCAGCCGCTACTGTATGTATATTTATCTTCTATGTGTATCTAGGGTTGCAGGGTCGTGTGAATCTGGTGTTCCCGCGTTCCACGAGGTTTCGGGAGCGAAAGGAAGTTGTGGTCTCTCTCCGTCCCTTAGTCCCAGATAATCCGATACAATCTGCGGTTCCATGAGTTGTTCCAAATCTGGATCCATTCGATCGGAACATAATTTTACAAGGAAAACATTCGGCTCCAATACACTATCCTCTGCCCCACCAGACGAAAGAGAACGCCGAACTGAGAAGACACATTAAACGTCGCACCCAAGCGCTGGACACCATCCGGCGTGCATACATCGTCGATGTTGAGCATCTCAAGCGAGAATTGGGGGACCAGGTACGTTTCAATGGGCCGCCTGCACCACAACTGGTTTGAAACATTATCGCATCCAGGAAAACCGCTGGCAAAAGGCGCGTTGAAAATTCAAACCTGTTCTTCTGCTCAGACACCACAGGCTTAACACACAATAGAGTGGTCCCCGCTGAAGGCAAGAGTAGCTCGACAGAACTCACGTCGCCACGTTGAAGGTGGCTCCCAAGCGAATCACTGGCTCTCGCATGCAACACAGACGAGCAATATATCCGAGGCATGACAAATTTACAAATATGTTCTAATCAGTTGCGCTTCACAATGTGTAGCTACAAAGTACAGAGTAAGGTGGGTAGAGCACACATTCGCCGCCAGCTGGTGTTACAAGCAGGGGTTTCCATATTGAGGTTTTCTCGTTCAGGCACGGTTCCTGCAGCTTCTAATTTTTCAGGCAGCCTGTGTAGAACGCTCATCTCACAAACAGCAGACACTCAGTAATTTGACCGGCGTGTTTGTAGGCGTGCTGGTGCACATGGGATAAAGAGAGCAAGTCACAGGTTTGGTACCAGCTAGGTGGTAGATATGCAGTGAACCGTGGTGGAAAACACTACATGGACAAATCTGCCCTTTTGCCGGAAGCAGGTGGAAGGAAAATCGGCGGCAGGATCCGAAAACTTGGACGATGTTGCTTTGGGAGGAATTCCCTCGCTGGATTTCCGCCCAGTTCTCGAGTTATTCGCGCCCACGGGCGACACGCTGCAGATATCTCCTTGCGAAGAGTGCGGGGGTACGATGGAGGTGTGGCAGCAGATGGGGCACTGTGTGCCTTCTCTAGCACCTTGTCTGTAAGGAGGATGCCGGTAAAATCTCCTCCGCCCCATGCTGTGGAGCACTACGAACTTCTTGCGCAATTCCAGTTTCTGGCGAAGATTTTGTGTTCTTGGTCGCACTTGTAGTACGTAAAGGACATACATGCCCTGAAAAAATGTATTCTACCAGGATCAAGTACTCATTCTATCGCCCGATCGTTTGTGTCACGTTCGCACCGCGACAGATTGTCCACTGTGACGAAAAAGAGGTAGTCAAGCTTAGGCGTCAGCTTGAGACAACTCGAGGGGAGCTGATGGAGAGTGGGAAAGCGCTAGGCAACAGTAAAGCCATCGTGGAGACCTACCGAGCGAAGGCCGAAACCGCATCATCGGAATTCTCGGAGATTAACAATATGCTACTGCGAGTGAGCGAACCGCTGCGAAACACTCTCTGTCACACATTTCGTGGAAGTTATGAGTCCTCCGTGGGCATACCAAGAGAGTTTTCAAAGTGGATTGACTATTGGGAAGACGCCGCAGAGCTCGCGTGATTCTTGTAGCTCCTTCCAGAATATCAGCCTTACTTTTGCAGATCGTACTGTAGGGTTGTATTCACTTGCTTGCGTATACTGCTTCCTTACGCACTTACCCTCATGCCGCTCGATGTCGAGAGAGGACAATATGGGTGCTTGTGCGTGGGGACTTGACTCTATCGCCATTTTCACGCGGCTCGCAGGATCTGCTTGTGGAGAGCAGCACGTGTTGATTGGCGCAGGTACTTCATTTCCCGAAGCCACCACTGAATGAGTGTGAATCTTTGCACATCCGTTCCCTACGTCACTCACCACCAACCGTATCGATCTACTCCAATACGGCAAGTACTTGTTCTTGTTGTCGACAACATGCATCCCCTGCTACAACAGGAGATCAAGATGCTCAAGGAAAAGCTGGCGAATGCAGGGCCAGAGGTAGTGGCCAAGATCTCGGAAGAGAGAGACAAAGCAGAATCGCGCGTGAGATCGGCCAACCGGACGGTGTCGGATCTGGAAAGCGTCGTGGTGGAACTGCAGGCCCAAGTACAGCGAGACGCAGACGACAACTTAAAGGTGTGTCGCAGCGCAAACAATGCACCACAACATCTCAATATTCATGGTCTGAAACTTGAGGACGACGTATTGGTAGGATTATACATACAGTAGGTGGCCCGATAAAGTGGCTTGTAGGGGCAAGAGGAGAATATGCCACTATTCAGGGCAGTGCCACTATTCGATATATCAGGTTCATGTACATGTCGAGGTCGTGACAATTTTGATGCCACTACATCGGCAGGTCTGCTATTCAAGTTACCACTATATTGGGCCACATACTGTTTACCAAATGCTACTTGTAGTGTACTTCGACTTTGGTACGTCGTGGCTGAGGGAATAGCCAATACGCCGTTCTCAAGACCTCGGAATTATTTTTTTTACAGCAGATCGGTTTTGTTTGAGTAAACCTCAACATGCTGCCTCCGTTGATGGTTGGTTTCTTGCTTCGTCTTCAGGTAGAAGAGATGGAGCACCACTTGCTGGAGGCTTCAAAAGAAACAAAAGCCATGGCATTCGAGAGGGAATCGCACGTAAGTGAAATATGTACTCCTGGTTGAATCTAAGGGCTTCGTGCGTGTGAACAGCACAGTGTCATGGAAAAATGATTGGATGGCACCAGATACTCAAAGGGTATGCCTACATTCACCACCACTCCGTGAAATTTCAACTACCGTAAGAATCGGAGAATAGGCACCACCGTGCGATTGTTTCATGATTCATTGCTTGTCATACTTCCGTGCCAGCTCACCGATCCGTGCGATGCTAAAGAAATAACAGCGACTGTTCGAAGCGACAACAACGTATATTTGATGGAAGTCGACAGCGATAGAGAGCTCTTGGCTCGGCCGGGGGACCTTGACTCGGGGGGAGAAGAAGGCGGTTGATGGGAACAAACCGGTAGAAAACCCGCGTTGCTGCGTCGTGTAGACCACACGAATGGGAAGAGAGTTTGCTTGCTTGTTGCAAGGGCAAAGCATGGTGAGATTCGGTTTTCGTTGTGGCAGTGTGCGATGCGGTAGCGCGCTGGGAGTAAGTGATGCCTTACGGCTCTTTAATTTCGCACAGCCCGCAGGAAATGGGTGTGCCGAAAGCCAGGCTGAAGAAAATCCTTCTCCCCTTTGCCATCGGGGTTGGGTTTTCGTCGCTTGGCAACGACGTTGTAAAACAAGCCGCCCCCCCCGGTGTTTGCCATCGGGATTGGTTTTTCGTCGCTTGGCAACGACATTGTGAAACAAGCCAATTCACTTCGTGAACTCGGCAACCAGGTTACCGTTTTT